TGTCACAAGGGCAAAAAAAAACAAATGTCCTCTGAGTGCCATAATCATTTTAAAATGATAAATCTTTGCAAATATTGAGCTTACCCTTTAAATTCTAGTGATTTGTTTTCCTCCTGCAGCTGCATATGGGGGTGTGATGTACCGCACATACCGTTGATGGTCAGACCTGGACTAGATTCATGTAACTGACCATTAATGTATGAAGAGCCAAAAGTGTCATCATCTACTTTTGTTTTATATTGGGGGAAAAAGAAGGAGAAAACAAACTTGACTACCTTTCAGCTATGTGGTGCTAAATCAGTAACTTTTTTTAATGTTACCCTCTGACGTCCTACTCCTTTTCATACCTGCTTGTGGCCACGAGAGCCAGCTGCACTCTCAGGAGATGTCATTTGTAGTTTGTAACGTCCATTTGATTAGACACTAATACTGATAATTAGTATTTTTCATTGTTCTTTTGCTCAAAATGCAATTTGCATTGACATGCCCACAGCAGAACATAATTTACAGTAGTTGTTGCATGTCTCCTTATGTGTTTTGGATTTTAAAATGGACTGAACAGAATGAAAACTTCATTTAAGACTGGTTTCCAGTCTCGTCATTGATGTTTTTATTAGAAAATGGGAATTGTTTTCTACAATTCAAACTGTTGAATGTCTTTTTTTTATGCTGCCTGTCTAACAATCTCAAAGACCGTGGACTGTTCTCAATATTTGCATACACTTTAAAAAGAAGTGTTTTTTTTATCACGAGCGTATGCAAAATGAAAAGTGTCCTCAGATGGTGCTTTGTACAGTGATAAAATATTGTTCACATGTGTGGATCAAACGGACTGTAATTTATCTTTAACTTTAAATGGGAAGAAAAAAACAGCTTCTTGAACTGCTAAGAGGAGTTGCACACAAACAAACCTGAGGTCTTCGGGTGTATTTAGCGGGGACTTTTGCACCAGATGTTATTTCACCTTGGAGTCCAGTGCACAATCTGATCTTCTGCTGTCTACTCCTACACTACACTGCCCTGCAGCGCCCCGGTAGTGGCCTCAACTTAGCTGTCCATAAACAGGTAAACGTTTAGGGACACCGTTTTTTTTTTTTTTTTCAATAGCATGATCCACTAGCAGGACTATATCTCTCTCATAGCTGACTGATGCAATTTTATGTATGTTAACACTATCATTTTGTAAGAGTATTTTATTTTTGTGTGTAATTAGTTCTAATTAAACTTGCCTTTGTCTAACAATAAGGCCTTGTACAAATATATGTCTTGTCTTCTTTGGGAGTTTAACTTTAATTGTGCACATAAACAGTTTATTTGCTATGGGACGTATTTACCACACTGCACTGATGGAGAATGTGCGAGTTGCAGAAACTCAGAGTCTTAAATGGTGGTTAAAAATATTGGATAAATTTGCTTTGTATAAGTAAATTAACATCAGAGGCTTCTTTAAAATGATTTGATGAACAGCTTAGATATTGACCAAAAAAAACAATAACTTGGTAGCATGCAATGTTTGAGGTGTGCCGTGCTGCCCCGTTGCTGAAAGATGGTGGTGAACGCTCCTGTTTTAGCAAAATATCTTATGAACCACTGGATGAATTTAACTTAAACTTGCATAACATAGTCATTGAATGAACATCTATCTACAACTAATTTAGCTTAATCCAAACCAACAGACTGAAGTAAAAATTAAAGACTTAAAAAAACTTGAATAAAACATTCTCAGTGGAATCTATATTAAAACCATAGAGCTTTAAATACATTCTCTGATTAGTCTTCTTACAAAGTGAGTCTATGTGCATCAAAGGTCACTTATCTTTGTTTAAAATGTTTGCCTTTAACTCTCCTGCTTTGAAGAGGATGAAGAAGGGGAAGGCTGTAGGACCTGATGACATATCAGTGGAGGTTTGGAAATGTCAGTGAAGTTTTTGACTCAAATATTCAATGGTATATTTGAGGTTGAGAAAATGCCTCAGGAATGGAGAAGATGTGTGCTGGTGCCCATTTTTAAGAACATGGGTGATGAACAGAGTTGTAGCAGCTACAGGGGAATTAAGTTGATGAGCCACACGATGAAGATCTGGGAGAGAGTTGTGGAAGGAAGACTTGGACGAGAGGTGACGTGAGCAGCAGTATGGTTTCATGCTGAGAAAGAGCACCACAGACACCATCTTTACTTTGAGGATGCTGATGGAGAAGTACAGAGAGGGTCAGAAAGAACTTTGTGGATTAGAAAAAGCAAATGACATAGTGCCGAGGGAGGAGGTGTGATATTGCATGAGGAAATCTGGAGTGGCAAAGAAGTATGTTAAACTGGTATAGGATATGTATGAGGACAGTGGTGAGATGTGCTGTAGGAGTGACTAATAGCTTCAAGGTGGAGGTGGGAGTGCATCAAGGCTCTGCTCTGAGCCCCTTCTTGTTTGCTCTGGTGATGGACCGACTAACAGATGAGGTCAGGCAGGAATCCCTGTGGACTATGATGTTTGCAGATGACGTGATCTGTGGTGAGAACAGGGAACAAGTGGAAGAGAACTTGGAGAGGTGGAGGTATGCACTTTAAAGAAGAGGAATGAAAGTCAGCCATAGTAAGACAAATGAGTCATCAAGGCTCAGTGGGATTAACCTGTCTAAATAAAGGTTGAATGAGTACATGTGTGTGAATTAGAGGGAGCTGGTGGAACAGTGAGGCTACAAAGAGCAGAGTGCTGGTGAAGATTCTCAGTCATCCAGGACATGATGAATTCAAAAAGCGTTCAATACAAAAACAACTGGACTTTATTTGTAACAGAAGACATTTCGCTCCTCATCCGAGAAGCTTTCTCAATTCAAACAGCAGTGAGTGAGGGATTCAGGTTATAAGGCCGAGTGAGATAAGACACACACACACATATGTAGATTGGCAATTCACACCTAAACACCTTAACAGGAGGGGTTTCTTAAAGTCTTTGTTACTCTAATTCACAGACGAGGCCCCTCTGTTCCCATCAGGTGTGAAAACCGGCTGGGAATCTGTCTTAAAGTTGCATTATAGGTTTTTGAAAGTGGAAATCTGAGGCCCCCTCCTCTGTTAAGAGATGGCTTTCCCCTTTTTACAATTGCTTCCTTCACCCCCCTCTCAAACCATCTGTGTTCTCGGTCCAAAATGTGCACATTTTGGTCCTCAAAAGAGTGTCCCTTATCTGTGAGGTGGAAGTGAACAGCTGAATCTTGTCCTGTGGAGCTGGCTCTCCTGTGTTGAGTCATGCGTCTGTGAAGAGGCTGTTTAGTTTCTCCAATGTAGAGGTCTGGACAGTCCTCGCTGCACTGGACCACATACACTACACCACTCTGTTTGTGTATGGGTGTTTTGTCCTTAGGGTGGACCAGTCTCTGTCTGAGAGTCCTGCTGGGTTTGAAATGTACTGGGATCTTGAGCAGAAAAGAGAGCAAAGAGCAGAGATCACAAAGGTGCAGGACTTCAAGTACTTGGGGTCCACTGTCCAGGAAAATGGGGAGTGTGGTAAAGAGGTGAAGAAGAGAGTCCAGGCAGGATGTAGTGGATGGAGAAAAGTTTGAGTGATTTGTGACAAAAGGGTGTTGGCAAAGGTCAAAGGAAAAGTTTACAAGACAGTTGTGAGACCAGCTATGTTGGATGGTCTGGAAACAGAGACAAAGACAAAAAGACAGGAGAAAGAACTGGAAGTAGCAGAAATGAAGATGTTGAGGTTCTCCTTAGGTGTGACAAGGATGGATAATATTAGGAATGAGATCATCAAAGGTACAGCACAGATTGAACAACTGGGAGATAAAGTTAGAGAGACCAGACTGAGATGGTTTGGACATGTCCAGAGGAGGGACAGTGGGCATACTGGTAGAAGGATGTTAGAAATGCAGCTGCCAAGGCAAAGAGGAGATGTATGGATGCAGTTAGAGAGGACATGGAGGTAGTTGGAGTGAGGACAGAGGATGCAGCGGATGGAGATGGAGGAGGATGACTCGCTGTGGAGACCCCTGAAGAGAGAAGAGACGAAAGAAGAAGAGGAACCCTCCTGCTGTCTTTGGGTCAAAATGACCCATAAACTGAGACTTTGTGTGCCATTTTGACGCAAAGACATGATGTACTGGTATTTGGAGTCAGCTTTGTCAGTAAGCAAGTAGCTCACCACTGAACAGATTTTATTTTCAGGATATATAAATATATATGAAAAAAGAAATTCTCATAATAAGGTGATCGTAGTTTAAAACTGGCATGGTGGGCAATATGCATTCCTTCAAGGACTGATAGGTCTTTAATGTTAAATTATTTCAACTAAATTGATAAATCACCATTTTTTATAATCGTAATGTTTAGTTTTGTTATGTAACAGTGCACTTCTGCTCCTCTGTTCATATTTACATTCCTCGTTTTGTAAACACTTTGTTCTTATTTTCTGAACTGCCTTTAAAAGCCAGCGCACGAGATTAGAAAAGGATATTTCCCACAGATGAACATCTGATTTTAAAAAATCCACCGGATTATATCTGATCTGATTCTAAAACGAAGAATGAACAAAAAGTACTTAATGTTTCGAGCTTGTCCTGATGACGTCATTTACCGTTTACGCAGCGGAAGCCACCCGGCCGAATCACCCATTTTGGTCACGTACATATACATCCGCCAACATTCGTTGAGGCTGCTGACTGCAGATATCAATGAAAACCGTTAATGTCTTAAGAAAACTCTTCTTTTTCAAGACAGCAATTTTAATTATGACGATAAGTTTGAAGTGGTTTCCTATAACGTCTGTATTGACTTTTATGTTTTTGTTCTTCGGAAGAAGCAGTGCTCTAGCTTTCTCAAATTAAGTAAAAAACAATTAATGACTTGAAATGTTGGAGCTTTGGTGCATTTTTATTTCAAAATATAAATGAAAGTTGACGAAATGTTCTTTAGTTCTTTTTTTCGTTCATTCAAACAAGGACCGAAACTCGTTCTGCGGATGGATATGTCGGAAGGGGACCTCTTTCCTTATAAACCGGACCTCATTTCGTTTAACCGGTATTTCAGTACAACTGCCGGCCGGTTTTGTAACCATAATCTACACCTCTTCATAGTCATTTTTTAATAGATTTATACATTTTGCTAACAACATGCCTGGATATGCCGACAGAGATCGCGGCAGAGATAGAGGGTAAGTGTGTTTTTGTCCGTGTTTAAGACGTTTCGACCGTCGCGTGACCAGTCTTTAAAGAAAGGGGGAAAAAAAATGTGCCGGTTTTTTTTTTTCTTCCGTTTTTACATAATAGATAATGCAACTAAAGAACTGAATCTAGAATTACTGGATGTTAAACACCGATATCTAATCAAACGGTAGTTATTGAATTAGTAAAATGTATAAATTAAAACGAACTTCGACGCAAGTCGTGGTCGCCTTTTTTTTTTTTTTTTTCTTCTTTTTTTGGCTAGCGGCCTAGTTTGGCCTCGTGCCCCGGCACAACTGGATTGTTAGCTGAAGGTTACGTTTTCTCTTTGTAGTTGACGCCTTTAACGCGAATAATTGGTGATATGTTGTGAATAGTGTTTTTATGTTGCTTGTTTGAAACGTTACGTTTGTCACCTTTTGACTGAAAATGTCCCGGCCTTTTGGTTAGCGGCTAACCGTATTAGCAGGCAAGCTAACGGAGCAGGCTAGTCGGCTCTTCGCCATGTGGCGGCGTCTGAGCTCACACAAAATGCCGGCTGTTTTTTTTTTTTTTTTTTTTTCGCCTACGTGGAATGACGCAGCAACAATTGTGCTCATAGTCTTTTTTTTTGAATAATTCAGCTTAACTTTAAATGTTTGAACTTTTTATTTTCTGCAGCTATGGCGGTGGACCTCCCCGGTTCGGTGGTAGTCGAGGAGGTGGTGGTGGAGGAAAGTTCGGTAATCCCGGCGAACGACTGCGAAAAAAGCACTGGAACCTGGACGAGCTCCCGAAGTTTGAGAAAAACTTCTACCAGCAGCATCCTGACGTCTCCCACAGGCCACCGGTATGTGTATTTATCAATTGTAATCATCAATCCTGTTCCGCACTTGTTGGAGTTGTGTAACCAGTTCTAATTTTGAAACGATTTGCTCTTGATCATTTATGCAGCAAGAGGTTGAACAGTACAGGAGGTCCAGAACGATCACAGTGAAAGGGAGAGAATGTCCAAATCCCATTACGAAGTTCCATGAAGCAAGCTTCCCCTGTAAGTTCAAGACAAAAAGATAAGCTGAGCTATAACATAAATTGTATGTTTTTTTTTTTATTATTGTAATTTTGTTTCTGTTAGCCTATGTAATGGAGGTGATCAACAAACAGAACTGGACTGAACCAACACCCATCCAGGCACAGGGCTGGCCACTGGCTCTTGGTGGCAAGGACATGGTTGGCATCGCTCAGACTGGATCTGGCAAGACACTTGCTGTAAGTTGGCTCTCTTCTTTGAACCAGTTGTCACTTTGTTTTTTGATGGAAAGTTTGACCAGTTTAGTAGTATTGGTATAACCGCTGTTTAATAATGTGGTACATTTTATTTACAGTACCTGCTGCCTGCAATTGTCCACATCAACCACCAGCCTTTCTTGGAACGTGGTGATGGTCCAATTGTAAGTAATCCTAAGAAATGTTGGCGCACACCTTTTTTTTTTTTTTTTTTTTTTTGTCAGATTGAAAACTGACTAAAAAAACTTTTTCAAATTTGAATGTAACATTCATTCTTTGTAATTGTCTGATATACTAGGATTTGTTAGGATAAATGGTTTGTAGCTCCTCCAATGTTTCTTTTTAAAGCTTTAGCTTTTCTCTCCTGACAGTGTTTGGTGCTAGCCCCAACCCGTGAGCTGGCCCAGCAGGTGCAACAAGTGGCCGCAGAGTATGGCAGAGCTTCTCGTCTGAAATCGACCTGCATCTATGGAGGAGCACCAAAGGGACCTCAGCTCCGTGATCTGGAAAGAGGTACTGGATAGTATTCATCGAGGATTATAAATGTTGGAAGAAGAAAATGATGGCAGTCAATAAACATTTGTTTATTTACAGGTGTGGAGATCTGCATTGCCACTCCAGGCAGACTCATTGACTTCCTTGAGTCAGGAAAGACGAACCTTCGCAGGTGCACTTATCTTGTGCTTGATGAGGCTGACAGAATGCTGGACATGGGCTTTGAGCCTCAGATCCGGAAAATTGTTGACCAAATCAGGGTATGCATCTTTCTTTACTCGGGAGGCTTGAAAGACTACACTGTTGTGAGATCATTGCGTATAATCCTGCTATTTTTTTTATTTTTTTTCAGCCTGACAGACAGACTCTGATGTGGAGTGCCACTTGGCCGAAAGAGGTTCGCCAGCTGGCAGAAGACTTCCTCAAGGAGTATGTGCAGATTAATGTTGGTGCACTGCAGCTTAGTGCTAACCACAACATCCTCCAGATTGTAGATGTTTGCAATGATGGAGAGAAGGAGAACAAGTTAGTATTTACTCCACATCGTTGGAAGAGAAAAGTGTTGATCTGATCTGAACTAAATGATTTGTCTGTAGGCTTATCCGTCTGCTTGAAGAAATCATGAGTGAGAAGGAAAATAAGACCATCATCTTTGTGGAGACTAAAAGGCGGTGTGATGATCTTACTCGTCGAATGAGAAGGGATGGGTAAGTGTCCACACCAGTGAAGTGGTTTTTGTTGCACAGGTTGGTCCTGAAACTTTTTCTTTGTTCTAGGTGGCCTGCTATGGGAATCCATGGTGATAAAAGCCAGCAAGAAAGAGACTGGGTTCTTAATGGTAGGTTTTTATTCATCCATATTCTGAAGTGCGATTTTGGTGATTATTCCTGATCTTATTTGATGTCTCCCCCCCAGAGTTTAAATTTGGAAAAGCCCCAATTCTGATTGCTACAGATGTTGCATCCAGGGGTCTAGGTCAGTATCCGTCCTGAATTCCTTCATACTTAAATTTAATATTCGTTTAAAAAAGAAAACTGTTTTGCTTTCTTTAACTCTTCTGCTTCTTTCTGAGTTTCTCCCCTGACCTGAAGGAGCAGTCTGTGTGGCAGGGCCTTGGCATGACAAGCCCAGGTATCCAGAGGGGGAAGGAGGATTCTTGGAGGTGTCCAGACTGGCGAGGCACGGGTCTCCCAGTCATGCAGATGTAGAGGTGACCAGGCCCAAACCAAGCATAATGTGCTGGCCTGCCTAAAAACGGGGGAAGAGTTGACGGCTGGCTATATTTCTTCCCCAAATCTTGTTCTCAGCAATGGTTTGGACTGCTTCACACACCCAGGCTCTTAACTGTCCCAGCTCAACTACACCGTCTCCCTTTGTCTTGCATGTACATTTGGACACAGCATTGCAAGTCATTTAGAAGGTTCTTCCTGTTCAGACTGGTGAAGCATGGGTAATGTTGCAGTTTCCTAAACTTCTGTCTGACGAGCAGTCCGTGATATCGATCATACCTTCACCTCTGTTAGTGACATGGCTACTGGCGCTTTTGGTGACAGTACAACATGGTAGTTGGACACCGTTGGACAAAATCCAAGCTCAAATTCCTCCCTCGCCTGCGTTTCAAAGTCATGTCGAGACCTGCCAACGAGAGACATTTTGGTCAAGTGAACGCTGGGTATGGAATAAAAGCCATGCTGAGAAGGGGTTGCACTGTAGACCTCCTGCAAATGGGTTCTGGTCTACAGATTCTTGGCAAGACGAGCGTGACATGGGGACCTTTTCATTAAAGTTCACTCTGTCTGAGGCAGTAATGTTCAGAGCAGCCTTCCTGTGTAGATGCCTTTAGGGTCACTTGACATTGAGAGGTGGGCTGCAGTGGGAATGGATTAGTGAATTCACACTTCAAGCAAGTTTCTCACTATTGAGAGCAGCAGAAGTGTGCGTCATTTTTCTCTCCCTGTTGTAGACCCCTGAGGATTAGGTATTTTCATTTTGATAGCAGTTTCTTTCAGCCTGAAGAGTTGACCAACCTTACCACCCCATAGTGGGACTAACTTGGCCTTCTTTTTTTATTTTTATTTTTATCTGGTTGTTGTGGTGGCTCTGGCACACAATGTGTTGCCCTCCTCTGCCACACTGCAACAAAATTTTACAGATGTGGAAGATGTGAAATTTGTCATCAACTTTGACTACCCAAACAACTCTGAGGACTATATCCACCGCATTGGCAGAACGGCTCGTAGCCAAAAGACTGGCACAGCCTACACCTTCTTCACTCCAAACAACATGAGGCAGGCCGGGGACCTCATCTCTGTGCTCCGCGAGGCCAACCAGGCCATCAATCCAAAGCTGCTGCAGATGGCAGAAGAGAGAGGAGGTAGGTACATCTGTTGCTCCTTTCTGTCCATGTTACTTCAATGCAGTCGTGTACTGAGGTTGTGGTTCTCTACTTTGCAGGTCGTTCAAGAGGCGGCAGAAACGACTACAGAGACGATCGTCGCAATAGGTATTCCACTGGAAGGCGTGACTACGGTGGCGGTAGGGACCGGGACGGCGGTAGAAGTTTTGAAAATGGACCAAGTAAGGTGTTTAACAGCAACTCTCAGAACGGAGGCTATGGGACCAGTAACGGCTACGGCGGAGGAACCTTTAACGGTAATGGACAGTCCAACTTCAGCGGCGCTCAAACGGGATCTTTTGGCGCCCAGAACAACTTCCAGTCCCAACAGTTCACCCCCAGTAATGCTGTCACACAGAATGGTGGCACACACACCCCCTTCTTCCCTCAGGGACAGGCCCAGCAGCAACCTCCTCCAGTGGCACCGTTTACCATGGCTCCTCAGTTCTCTCAGTAAACGCATCGTAAACTTGAAAATTGTAATTTATTGCTTTTGGTCTTTTTAAGTTCTATACTTCATCCACAATTTTGTACTCGCGTAACAGGGTTAAGTCAACCTTTTTTAAGATCTGCAGTGCAGCAATAGTTATGTTGCACATTTATTTTTAGTTTTTTCCTATTTAATTTGTTACATTCCTCAGTAATGTTTAGTTTTTGTATTGGGTAATTGCAAATGTATGGTTTTCATGTGTAGCATTGAACATGTTGAGATCCTACCTTAAAGTGCACTGCATGATCTTTGAAATAAAACCCTATGAAAGACTTTGGTCGTTTCTGAACTTTCTTTAAGGTCGTTTTCACACCAGATAGTCTGGTAGACTCGGTTTGGGACCAATATTCATGACCTTTTGTTTACATTTGAGCTGGTGTGTTTACATTCGCACTACACTGCAGTCAGTCCACCTGTTGAACCAACCTGCTCGCCTGTGGGGGCGCTGCACCAAGTACTGAAAGAAACGTCTTCTGTAAATAACGAAGTGGCATAAAGTTTTAGGAGTTCTATTTTATCATTTTTCAAAAATGGACTTAGCATGAGAAGGAAGACCATGGAGAATATAGTTTTCCACACAAGGCAGCTGACTGCTCCATATAAGGTCAGATAAATGCGTGTTTGTCCTGCAGAGCGGGGTCTGGTCTGTTTATATTCACACTACTGAACCGTGCTGGAGTTCTCTTCTACTGGACAGAGACCTAGGTTTTAGCCTGGGCCGGAGTTTGCCTTTTTGTTCCGTGACATCTGGGTTTGAGTGTGCATTCACACCTCCCTACACGAACCGGACTTTCTAGGAAAACGAGCTAGAGTTCGATTAAAGCGGACTAGATGGTGCTGGTGTGAATGTACCCTAAATTCATAAAATTCTTGGAACTTAATTATTTCAGGTAGTACCCTCACCGTCCAGCAGGTGGCAGGCTGTAGCAATGTTTCATCTGAGCTGCACTAAGATTAAAAGATGCTTTGCTGATGTTGGCATATTTATCAGTTGTTTTTTTTTTCTTTTTTCATAAAACATTTTAATTTGAGGTTCTTTACAATGGTCACTAAGTTTGGTCCAACATTAAACGTTCATTTTATGGGACAGTTTGGAACAAATCCGGTTTGTGATTGTAAATCCCAAGTGTCCCCCTCCCAATGGGCTGACGTTAAAATCAATCTGGTGCACATCTCTGTACCACATGTATGTGATTCAAGGTTAAACGTTGTACACACCACATGTGGAACAATTGTTTACACAGGGTCCCAGTTGCATCAAACAGAATATTAAAATGTTTATTCAACCTTTATTTAGACAGATTTAATCCCATTGAGCCTCGGGGACTCGCAAGAGAGACCTGAAAAATGTAAAATAAGATCGGAACTAAAAAACTACCTAAAAATGCACTAAGCACTAGTTGCATAAAAACAATACGCCAAACAGCAGCACGAACATGAGTGAGCAGATTAGAATGAACACAGCAACATGATGTGATTTTTTTTAGATATGAGTCTAGCAGCTTCAGGGTAGAAGCTGTTCCTCAGTCTAGTGGTTTTACACTTAATGCTCCTCAACCTCCTTCCTGAGGGGAGCAGGGCAAGAAGTGTGTGCTGGGTGAGTGGGGTCCTTCATGATGCAGGTGGCCCTCTTCCTGCATCTGGAGGTCTTATCCCCTTCAATTTTACATGGAGGTAAAGATGTCTTTAAACATACTTTTGAAGAGCAAAAGTTTTAGGATTTTGTAGTCATTGATGTGTCTTTAAAAACTTATTTTAGTGTTTGTGGAGTATGCTCCCCACACACACAATTTCCTCTGTTTATGTAAAACTATTTCTAAGGATTGTTAAAACACTTGTCCTTTTTGCAGTGATAATAAATAAAAGATGGACGTCTATAATGGACATTTATTCTACTGCATCAGATCACTGAGCGCAAACACCTGTTCAGGGTCAGGAGGGACAAAACATCTAGCTGTTGTCACCAGATGCATTTAAGTCGTCTTAAGAATAAATAAATGTCGACCTCGTCTCGAATGTGTAAAACTTTTTGAACCTTCAGAATGCGAAGACGTTCTGTAAAAAGGTGGCTCGAATCTAAACCTGAGCAGCTCTTTTTAGTCTGAGGAGTTTTATGAAACAAACCTCACGTCCCTGTGCAGCAGCGTCCTGACACAAACCGTAAGAAAACAGGGCCGCAGGTTTGAGTCTCCGGAGCATCATAAATCCGTTTACGTTCAAAGTAGTTGAAAAAGTGTGGAATTAGGAACCTTGTTTGTTTTGTTGCTGCTCCGACTCACTCAGGTGAGCGATGTGACACAGCTCAGTGCCCCCCCCCCCCCCCTCTATATTACAGCTGCTGCAGGTGTGGCTCTTAAATGGCTACATATTTTCTGAACTGTGGCCATGAAAATGTGAGGAATGCAGTCTGAGTGTGTGGAGCATAAAGGTTTTCTCCCTCCTGTGACAGCTTCACCCTGCCACTTGTTTTTAACATAAACAACCATTAGGAACATTTTTTGTGTAACAAAATACATTTTAAATTGTTTTTTTCTTGTCTAAGAATATTTTACCCAACCGATAAGGATTTATGATCACATCAGTAAACGTATCTTTATCACCTGCTCTTAGGCGGGCCCCTCTAATGACACCCCCACCCCCGTGCTTCACTGTGGGGGCAGCAATTCTCTGATAGTACTGGCTGAGTTACCTGTGAGCTGAACAGACGTAGACCAAAGACCAGCCTTACAGTGGTTCTTATTGTGGGTCAGGGCTGATGGTCCAGTCTGTTGGGGGTTTCAGGACTAGACTGAGCATTCTCGCTCCGTGATGTGATGCTAGCAGGACCTGCTGTGACGATTAACGCTCCATCTTTTAGTTTGTCTTATCCTTTTTATATTTAGAGCCATGTTGCGGGAACAAACTCCATATTTTAGATGTAAAACTGCGTTCTTGGCTGCGCACATTATTATACATGCATTCTCCCCAACGCCATACACACCTCAGCAGCCACCCCCACATCTGGAGTACTCTTTAAAGATAAAGATGAGAAGATTCATACTTTATTAATTATTATCTGTGGTGGTTGTAGAGCTGGGCGGAACTGAGCTTCAGTGGAGGTGTCAAAATATGGCAAACACTTCGGAACAACATTTCTGCTGTAAAGTTTAAGAAACGAGCGTTTATGTAAGACTTGAGTTGTTTTAAGACGACACCTTCACATACATTAAAAATAAAAAAACAATAAGTGAAAGTTCTCTATCTAAGGAAGCAGCAGACTCGTTGAATCTTCACATCGTTGCAGTCTCCCATTCTGAGCAAGCACAAAGGAGACAGTGGAAAGGAAAAACTCCCTTTGAACAGGAAGAAACCTCCAGTAGAACCAGGCTCAGGACGAGAGGACATCTGCTTCGACCGGGTGGGTCTGACAGGACAGGAAGTAGAAACAAACACAGAGTGTCAGGTCCAGGTGTACGTTCTATAGGAAGAAAGACAAAAACACATGTCAAAGATAGAAATAATTACAAATACAAACAGGTGGAGCAGAGTAATTAAAGACAGCAGCAGAGTGAAAACATGTGGTCAGTTTGTCCTTCAGCTGTCTAAGCCTATAGCAGCATAACTAAAGGATAGCTCATGAAACCCAAGCCAACCCTAACTATAGGATTTATCAAAAAGGAATAAATACTTAATCTTAAAACAATGTGTCAGCCTCACGGACAGAAACTGAAGTTATGTCCACAAGAGAGGAGCCTGATAACTGAAAGATCTTCCTACCATTCTGCTTTTGGACACTCTAGGAACCACAAGTAAGCCTGCAGTCTGAGAGCGACGTAGGAAAATATGGAACAAGATCTGTAATATAAGATGGAGCTTGGTTGTTGAGGGCTTTGTAGGTTAGAAGTAAGATTATGAATTCAATTCTGGATTTGACAGGGAGAGAAACTAAAACTGGAGCAATCTGATCTCTCATTAAAACTATAGGTATAACTATATAATAATAAACAGTATACTAAAACTACTATTAAAACTATATATGATCATTTTTGACTGTGAGAAAGATTTAAAAAAATCTGACTCTTTTCACATTAAATTTAGTTTCTTGGTGTTTATGTTTCAGTCCAGGTGGGATTTCTGTGGCCTTGCACACACCCCTCCCCCCACCCTCAGGTATGAAGGTGTTGGTTTTGGGAGTCACCGCTCTGGGTGTGCATCACACACACCCACAGTAAGCATGAGCCGGAGCAGCATGCTGAGCAAATTTCTTCTCACTGACACGAAAACCAGTCCCATTGTTTCACCGTCAGGTCTCAGGTGGTTTTTCAAACCTCCAACAATCAGTTTGTTTTACTACGAGCTGCACATCACACACACACGAGACGCCCAGCGTGCAGCTAACGCTCTGTTTTTGTTATCAGCCGTGCTTTTATGCCACTTGTTGATTTAGCAGCAGGTGAACTTTACGTTCCTCCCCTCAGACCTTGAGTCTTGGCTAATCGGACAGGGTGTGTGAAAGATAAGTACTGATACTCAGAAATGGACTCACTCCAGCTCTGAGAGGCTGATTCATGATTTTTAACATGAATGAGGTTCAAAAAACACAGATCTGGTTCTTTTTTTTGCATTTTCCAAAACATCTTCATGATATCATCAATAATAAAAGACAAAGCTGATGATAATCCTCTCACTTCAAAGACCAAATTTGATCTCCCTTTTTGTTTCTCTTTCTCACTTCTCTGTGACAAATAATGATTGTTAAATGATCCTTATTGTTCAACAGGTTCCTCTACATTCTCTTATGAATGTGAAGAAAGTTGTAACTGCTCTGACACTTGTTTTATTTGATCCTAGAGTCAAATTCTTATCATGGTTTCTGATCATTACCTTCTGTAAGCTACAGGATCATAAAAGATGACCAGAATTGTCCAAAAGCTTCATAAATGAACGTTTTTGGCAGCGCTCGCTCACATTTCAACACATTTCCTGAGTTTTGATCATGAAAAGTACATTTCTGAGGCAGCGGATCCAGGAGAAGAAATGCACAGAGAGGGTAATCCAGATTAAAATGTCAGCGTGAGGTTTTTTTTTCTTATTGAAGTGACAGGAGAGCGGAACAGGTCGACCCGGTCTGCTCCTTGAATGCTGCTGCTGCTGACGACACACCTGTTGGTCTGGGAGGAGCTGAGACAGGTGGACGCTCCTTAACTTAGAGGAGACGCAGTGAATGAGCGAGGGAGAAGGGGAGCTGGAGGAGAGGAACACACTCGGATTCAGATTTCAACAGCAGGACCCGCCGGTGCCCCGAGATGTCGAAGAAAGGGGACTACAGCCCTGCAAAGATCAACAAGTGAGTTTCAGTGTGTGTGAGGCCTCTGTCTCCATCTGTTGCTTCTTTTTGACGTCTCTTGCTGAAGCCTCACACTTTTTGTGAACCATAACTCCATCCAGGCCTCTTTTATGTCGCTGGAGCCGTATAGATACACACATCTGCTTTTGTTCTGTTTACACTCATAATCTGTTACTAACCTGCTTTTGGCTCTTTACCTGAGGAGTGTATCATCAGCGTATATAAACACATTATCAGTGAGCTGACAGAAACCCAGAGCGAGTCATTAATATCTGCCACTTGTCCTTGCATGGACTGTGTCACGGTGCAAAGTCAGGTGAGTGTTACCTGTCACCGAGGAGGACGCACACCTCTGAGCGTGTTTGGAGTTTCGTGGAGGGGTGTGGTGCATGAAAGCAAAGGAGTGGCAGGCCCCTCCAGCTTCATGCTGCTCCTGTTTGTCTCCATGAATGCTGGGAGGCAGGAAATTTGTGACTCATGGCTGCAGGCTCGTGCTGTTGAAACGAGACTCGGAAAGTACGCCACAGTGTCAATTTGCAAACAATAAAAATAAAAAATGGCTGTCTCTGACAGTAATCCATTCATCTACAGCTAGTCAACGCAATTCAAGATGGCTGCCACAGCAAAGTGATCTGAGCGAACACAAAAATGGTCATAAATCTGTGAATCTGACAGATTCTGAGCTAAAGTTTGGTGTGGTAGTGGCTGAGAGTCATCCTCAACCTATACTCTGAGTGCTCTGAGATTTGTGTTTAAAAGTTAAATATCTCCTGATCCTGGATGGATTTTAATGAAACTTTCAGAAAGTAATCTACAACTGATTCAAAGTGGCAGCAGCAGCTAACTAACAGACTGAACTCAGTCAAGTTTACAAATACTGAGCTAAATTTTGGTGTAATAGTTGAGAGTCATCCGACACTAGAGCGTGAGAACAATATTTTCATGAAAACTCTACGTGGACGGCAGCGGGCCACATGCATTCTGTCAGATGTCTAGGCCTTTAATTACTATAATACAATTGTTCAGACTTTTTAAACGTGGTGTTTTGTGAAGTTATGTATGTAATCAGACTAATAAGAGCAGATTTTGATCAACTAAAACAATTTAAACTTTAAAGATTTCATACTGATTTAACAAAACTTAAACTTTTGCATCATATTTTTTTTTCTGCGTAGACCTTGATGTTTTACTCTTGTGGATGACTGTTTTAGGCCACAGTCTGTGCTCCATTACAGTCAGAAATGCGTGGCGGAAAATGAAGTGTGTCAAACACGCCCGGTCAGCGTAACTAGCTGATGCAGAAAGGATGTGACGTAAAAAGATGCAGCGCGTTCATCTGAACTGAGGCAAAACCTTTAGGGTTTGTTTTAGGTGGCAGAAATCTGCTCTTGAACAGGCCATGAATTAAATTAGATGTCAGCTTAACTTAAACAAGGATTTGCTCCTGATTCTTTAAAGTGAAATGACTCTAACTGTTATCTGCTGCAGGTAAGATACTGATGGATCATAGCAACTTCACATTAAGCCACTTAAAAAAAATCTGTATTGATCCTTTATAGCAGTATTATGCAATATACGTCATGCAATTAAAAAAAAAACCAACATAAAATATGTTTTTGAGGATTACAATGAAACTGTTTTGGTTGATAATAAATGGATGTGAGTGCAGGAATGTTAGTCGTTAACTTCCTTACTGCTCAGAGTGACATTGTTTCACTGGGAGTGATGACAGAACGGCCTTCATAGACTCTGACTCCAAGCAGCCATAATGTCTGACCACACCTGTCATACCCCCACCCCCCACTTTCAAACAACATGGTTTTATTTGGGCAATCAAGTGTAGTGTGTGTGTGTATCTGCAGGAATGTCTGTGTCACACACACACACACACACACGCACACACACACACACAGAAACAGCATTCCTTACTGCTAACGGGGACACTCCCCTTCCATCTGACAATGTGTCCCCTGGCTCTTAATCCGGGTGTGTCACGATAAATGGCTGTCGTGTTAGAGGAGCAGGACTCGCAGAGCAAACAGCCGGAGCGCCCGAACAGGTCTGCTGGAAGGTTTTTAAAGAGGAGAGCTGCTGAACAGGTGGAGGCATCTTCTTTGTCTGGGCTGCCAGGCCCGTCTGACTTCAACGTCCTTTCAATTATCAAAAAGCTGCAATGTTGTGAGAAATGTAAATAAAAACAGAATGTAACGATTTACACATCTTATAAGCCTATATTTTATTCACGGTGGAACATAGTACAGTGTCGGTTAGGAAGAAATAAGATCATTGTGGATTTAATGGCAGCAACTCGTCTGGATGGAGCCAACCAAAAGCTGTAAGTTTAAGCTGTGCACAGGAAGCAGGACGCTGAGAAGACCAAGGAGCGTTTTAGAGGCTGAGCCAGAAGTAAAGAGCAGCGTCTGCAAAAAACTGCCTGAAAGTAGTGGAACAATTTCAGAATATTGTTTTTATTTGGGAAGACTTTAAAAATCATTATTTACAGTTCATATTATTAAACTATTTCAAGACTCGGGAGAAATCTGAGCTCATAGGACCAAACTAAAGTCATTGTTAGATATCTGTGATCTTCAGGCCCTCGGGGGCCGCTGCAGGTCTGACTCTGTTCACATCACAGCATGAACTCAGGAGCATGTCTGACAGTTCTCTGTGCCACCCACAAATACAGTTTAAAGCTCTATCATGCAAAGAGGATGTGAACTTCATCTAAAAATGTTGCGGTCTTCTCTGGACCAAAACTTGTTTAACGACTGAGGCAAACTGAAACGCTCTGTGCTCAGAGGAACCAAGTCTGAAATTTGTTTGGAAAGCATCCTTTGTAGCATTCAGTGGTTCCTAACTCTAGTCCTTGAGGAACACCATCCTGCATGTTTTAGTTGTTTCTCTGCTCCAACACACCTGATTCAGTGATTTAATTACTTCCTCAAGTTCTGCAGAAGCCTGTTAATAATCCGTTCATTAAAATCAGGTGTGTTGGAGCGGAGAAGCAACTAAACCAGTGGTGTAGTCTACATTTTCGTAGTGGGTATACTGTGCTTAGAAACCAAAGTACACTGGTTAGTACAATGTAATCATCAATTTATTTTGATTTTTAAGCATATTGAACATTTCCAAATTTCTCTGATATGAATAAATGAACAACAAACTTTGTACAATAGTTGGCTTTGTATTAAAAACATGTTATAGAATTTATAAAACAGTATTAAAGCAAAGCGCTGCATACAGACAGATTGTTACAGAAGCGTTATGACGTTTAACATATCAGTGACATGTACCTAACGATATGTCATGTATCAGTGGGCAGTTTTAAGTGGGTATACTGATATTCTTAATCTTTTCTAGTACATATACTCTGTATACCCAAGGGATCATGTAGACTACACCACTGAACTAAACCATGCAGGATGGTGTTCCGCAAGGACGAGGGTTGGGAACCACTGGATTCGTTGAACCCAATGCAGACAGATGCAAAGAACTCAAATATAAAAAATAAATAATTTCTTATTTATTAAATAAGGAACACAGAAGACTGGCGTGGCGGCAAAACTAACATCGAGGGATCATGGAGACACGGAGGAAGACAGAACTTGACGCCTTACAGGACAATCCACTGACAGGAACAACAAGGAAATGCAGAATCTATAGAGACGCTGACAAGGAAATAATTACAGACGCCTGGGGGAGGACAATGAGGGACAGGTGCAGCAGGAGTTGGCAACACGAGGGACACGCACTGAGGAACACTGGACAGAGGACACAAGAAAATCACACACAGATCATCTCAGTTTGCAGTAAAGAGGAGCGGGGTCGCTCTCACACACACACACACACACACACACACACACACACACACACACACACACACACACACACACACACACACACACACACGCACAGCTGTCCTGTTGGTTTGTGCAGAGGCTGAACTTCTTAGAAGTAAAGATGGGCAGAGGTTCACCGGTCCGCAAAAATCTGCATCTGTGTGGACAGTTTACACATGGGAAGGCACCATCACTGCAGAAATAATTAATATTCAAGGTTTAGAACATTTGCTTCCATGAGTCAAGGCCTTCCTACACAAACCACACGCTGCCTTCATCACAACGATGTGGCTTCTGATCATTTTCACAGAGGATGTTTAGAAAAGAGAAAGCAGACTTTACTTATTTGTATAAATTCCTGGATGTCTGTTGGATCACACTATTTTAACCCCACGCACACTCAGACAATGAACCAACCTGTTTCTAGACGTTAAAAGCAACCTGATCATTTTATGAGTGAATAAAGTCATAAATGTCTTACTTCAGTTTTTCATATTGTGCTCCAGTCCAGTCAGGACTCAGGAGCGTGCACACATCTGCAGTAATCTGCATGTTTCCACACAGGACTCAGGTCAGTGAACTGGCCCAGGTCATCTCTCGCATGCAGAAGAATGCAGACCAGGTGGAGAAGAACGTCCTGCGAGCTGAGGAGCTGCTGGAGCTGGTGAGAAATGACAAAAAACAACAACGTTGCAAATTTTTACTGAGCTGGAAAAGTGAAAACTGCTGCTGTGCAGGACAAAGCAAACGATGAGAACAACAAGAAGCTCCTCTACCAGAAGGAGGCTGCAGACAACCTGGCGCAGGCCGAGGGGCTGCTGAAGGACCTGTTCATGGACGTGTCCAAAGCCAAGAAACTGCAGCATCCGCAGGCGGGAGAGATCGAGAGAGAGTATGTTGCCTGTCGTCACCTCAAACCTGCAGCGTCACATTCCTTTGGTTTATTCTCGCCACGCACCCTTTTCCACATTCCTGCTCTAAAGGAAACTTGTGTGTTTGTGTTTTCAGCGTGAACAACCTGCATCATCGCTGGGTGAAGGACTGCGCCACGTTCAGGGACCTTTATGAACAGGTCCAAGACTTGGACACGGCACAGAAGATCGACTGGGCTCCTGTGCTCCAAGAGAAACTGGTCAGTGGAGCTGCAGCGTCAATAATTTGCTTGTGATGAGCTGAAAACGTAACCAGGTCTTGGACGTGTGATGTTGTGACTGTAGAACAAGTTGAAGTCCCAGACGTACGGACCCAAACTGTCTGATGTGGAGAAACAGATCGCAGAGCACAACATCCTGCACCAAGAGGTGGAGGCCTACAACAGCCAGCTGCAGCCCACTACCACAGCCTCCAAGGTACCACTGCTGTGTGTGTGTGTGTGTGTGTGTGTGCGTGTCCTTGTTTATGCTACTTTGTGAGGCCCATTTTTTCAACTTATACTGCATTGTGAGGACCAACTGCTCCTTATGGGGCCCAAAGCCCAGGCCCCATAAGAAGAAGTCCTGTTGGTGGGTTAGGGACTAGGTTTAGGACTAAGGTGTGAATTGAGGATGTGTTAGGTTTAGGGTTAGGTATGTACTGGTAATGGTTAGGTTAAGGATAAAGGTCATGGTTAGGCTATAGAAATGAATGAAAAATGAATGAAGTCAATGCAAAGGCCCCATAAAGATAGCAAAACAAACCTATGTGTGTGTGTGTGTGTGTGTGTGTGTGTGTGTGTGTGTGTGCAGACTCCACAACACCATGCAGGGCTCATTTCTTCCATGTTGCTTTCTTTCAGGAGGAGTATGTTGCTCTCAAAAAGAAATATGCAGAACTCATTGTGAGTATTTATCGTGTGAACGTTCATGAAACGTTCTCACTGTTGTGATCCATTTCTCTTCCAGATGTTTTTTTGCGTCTTTCTCGTTCACAGTTTTTGTGCTATTTCAACAAACCATAAACCAAAACGTTCAACTCTTTCAGGACAATCCTGCTATCACTTTTAGTATTGATGCAACTTTAGCTTTTTGAAATATTTAGCCATTTCTGACACTTTTTTCCCCCTAATAGAAAATGAATTGAGCTCATTTTACCTCCTTGAACTCTTCACATCTGTTTACAACCTTTTACTGCTCCTTTCATATTTTGTTCTGTTTCATCTTCTTTCAGCTTCCTTCTGCAAATTTAAATGTTTTTCAGCTACTTTCAGCCAATTTCAGCTGTTTTGTCCTTTAAGATCATTTCTGCTAACGACAAAATTTTTGTGCTTCTAACTTCTTTCTGTTAATTTCAGCTTGTTATGCTCCTTTCAGCTTATTTCTGCTAGATTCAATTTTCAGCTACTATTTAGCTGTTCCATGCTAATCTTAGCTTTTTTGGCTAATTCTAAATGTTTGCCCTCCTTTCAACCTTTTTCAGCCTAATTCAGCAAAAATGTGCTCTCACCAGTTCCTACTGGTAATTTAAAACTTTTCAGCTACTTTCAGCTGATTTGTTGTTGTTGTTGCTGTTGTTTTTGCTAGTTTCAGCTTTTTGCAGATAATTTCCACTTTTTTGCTTTTTTTGGCTTCTTTCAATAAACATGTGCATTTTCTGCTTTCTTCTGCTTATTTAAACTTGTTTTACTGTTTCAGATACAAATTTTTTTTTTTAGCATTTTTAGCTAATTTCAGCTGTTTTCATATGAATTCAAGTTGTTCATGGTAATTTCTGCTACTTTCAGCCTAATTAACTTCTTTCTGCTTGTTATGCTTCTGCCAGCTTTTTTCTACTATTTTCAGCTTTTTCTTCAGCTACTATTTAGTGGTTTTGTGCTAAATTTAGCCTTTTCAGCTAATTACCTGTACATGTTTTTTTTTCTAATTTCAGGTTGTTCCACTTCCTTCTTGTAGTTTAAGCTTCTTTCTGCTTTTTCAACTACTTTTCAGTTATTCTTTGCTGAATTAAGCTCTTTTTTTAAGCTCATTTCCTCATTTTTGTGCTCATTTCTGCTTATTTAAACCTAATCAGCAAATATGTGTTTGTTCTGCTTCTTCTGAAAACTTCCATTCAGCATGCTTTTAATCTAATTTCAGCTGTTTTTCAGCAAGTTCTTCAGCAATAAGCATTCACACTGCATTTTCACAGGAAATGCAATTTCTCTAGTATATTTTATTTTCACACCTCCCTTGGTGTTTGTATTTTCTCGACCTGTTCTAAATGTTACCTGTGTGTGTTTGTTTCCTGTGCAGGAGAGCTCCCAGCTGAGGCGCAGCTACCTGGCCTCTTTGTACGAATACATGCAGAACTGCAGCAAGGAGCTGGTCTACCTGTCAGGCCAGCAGGATCGGATCCTCCAGAGGGACTGGAGTGATCGGATGGTTGACGCCTCGGGCGTTCGTATGGAGTATGAGGTGAGCAGCCGCAGTGTGAATGGCATGTGGCCACAGTTATGTGAAATGATTTAAGGTGTTTTTTCCTCCATGTTTGTGTCTAATGGAGCTACGTCTGAGTAAAACTAAAACAAACACAGTTTTTAAACAGTGCATATCTTTTTGCTTTCCTTCAAGTTTAACGTGAAATGCTCATGTTAGTTATTTTTATTGAACTTTTTAAAGTATTTTTACATATTATACAGCTTTACTGAAGCTGGTTGTTGGGACATGCAGGACCACCTCTCTGTTAGAGAAGTTGGCAGCATGATGGATCAGTGGTTAGCACTGTTGCCTCACAGCCAGAAGGTCCTGGGTTCAATCCTCAACTGGACCTGGGGGTCTTTCTGTGTGGAGTTTACATGTTCTTCTCGTGCTTGCGTGGGTTTTCTCCAGGTACTCCGGTTTCCTTCCACAGACCAAAAACATGCATGTTAGACTGCCTTCAGGTCCAGGCCTCCCTTGCAAAAGAGATCAGTGATCTCAATGGGATCTGCCTGGTTAAATAAAGGGTAATAAATAATAAATAAATAATGAGCCAGAGCTTGTGTGTGAGACTGAAAGGGACCGACTAGATATTATTGGACTCAACTCAACACACAGCATAGGTTCTGGAGCCAGTCTTCTGGATAGGAGTTGTATGGATCCTTTATTTAACCAGGAAAAATAACTCGTCGAGATTAAAAACCTCTTTTCCAAGAGTGACCTGGCCATAAATTGGGCCTTATTCCAATCTGGACCTGCCGACGATGAGACGGATCCTCTTCAGTGACCTTGTCTTACCTGCTGTGATCTCCAGCTCTCACTGGAATGGTTCACAGTCAAGTGTGAAGTACGTTGTAGTTGAGATTAAGATCAGCACATCCAAATCTACAGATGGTACAACATGTCTTCATAGTATTGCATACTCTGTATGTACTCTCTGTGCCTGTTCGTTGTAGTGAAGAGGGAGCTGAGCTTTCAGGAGAAGCTCTTTTTACCAGGTGGCCTGTGTTCCTGCCCTCACCTGTGGTCGTGAATACTAGTTTACAAAAGAACAGCATCATGGATACAAACAAGATAAATGAGTTTTCTCAGCTGCTTCTCCACATCAAGTTCAGGTGGTTCCGGCTTCTGGTAATGATGCCTTCTGAACGCCTCACTGAGGTGTTCTGAGCAAGTCCAACTGGGAGGAGACCCCGGGAAAGACCCAGAGCTCGCTGGAAAGACAGTTTCTCAGCTGGCCTGGGAACACCTTGGGGTCCTCCTGGAGGGCGTCTGCAGAAAGAGATGTTTGGGTAAATTAACTCTGGAACGAGTGGCAGCTAATGGATTTCTACATGTATACATTTCATGTTTGGTAAAAATAGATAAAAGTGGAACACAACCCTTGTAAAAGTATAACAACATGGTAAATTCAATTTGTATGTGGTAACAGAAATGTAAATACAGTACAATACCTCGTCAGAAAAGGTTGGATTGTCAACTCTGGGTTGGGCATAAGCCCCACCCCAATATCAAGGAGTTCATACATCTTTGGGTCTTGTTAAAAAGTGGGTGCAGAGTAGAGCAGAAGGTTGTATAAATAAAGGTTGAATGAATTGATAAGCAACTTGGGACAGTGTCTGCTGTGAGGAAGACATATTGAGGAACAACCTGAAAGGCAAAGCTGTCAATTTATAAACTCAGTGTTCCAAACTTCATCTATGACTATGAGCTCTGGGTAATGAACCTATGGTTATAAGCTCTGGGTGAGGAACCTATGGTTATAAGCTCTGGGTGATGAACCTATGGTTATGAGCTCTGGGTGATGAACCTATGGTTATAAGCTCTGGGTGGTGAACCTATGGTTATAAGCTCTGGGTGATGAACCTATGGCTATAAGCTCTGGGTGATGAACCTATGGTTATAAGCTCTGGGTGATGAACCTATGGCTATAAGCTCTGGGTGATGACCAAAAAAATGGGACTGAAAATATGACTGCTGATGTGTTTTCCTGCACAGTCACCTTTAGGGATGAGATGAGGAGTTCAGCCGTCTGCGAGAAGCTCAGGGTCTCTGCTCCTCTGCATCAAAAGGAGCATCTGGTAAGGAAGGTGGAGGTGTTTCAAACATGTCCAACTGGTCCATACTGACCCTGGTCTCACAGCTGGCTTGGGAACCCCTCCAGATGAGCTAGAGAAGATAGTTATGGACAGGGAGGTCTGGGGCTGTTTCCCCCATCTCGGACAAATGCATCATGCATGTCTTTGTGTTTATGTTCAGAAATTCAAAACTAATGGACTGCTTGCACATGAGCGTGAGGTCAACCAGCTCCAGGCGGAAGGAGACCGTCTCATTGAGTCAAAACATCCTGGCAGCAGAACCATTGAGGTAACACGTCAAACATCAAGCACATCTTTCTACGCTCAGTGTCAGAAACTCATAAGTTTATTAACAAAATATTTACGATGAATTTATATTGTCGGATTTAGCTACTCTGAAAGTTTTATTTATTTTCTGCCAGATACACAAAGACACCGTACAGATGGAGTGGCAAGGCTTCCTTAACCTGTGTCTGGCACAGGAAGTGCACCTGAACAACCTTGACGCTTACAAGAAGGTAAAGACCAACAGAGCGGCCATCTGTCGTATAACCTGCTTAAACAAACGATTAAAGAAACTGCTGTTTGTTTCTGTAGTTCCAGCTAGATGCAGAGACTTTGTCCGAGTCTTTGGACAGACTCAGTTCCACTCTGGATCCAAAGTCGCTGAACAAAAAGAGCAACCCAGAGGTCCTGATAACACTGGAGGTACAGTCCTGTAAATTATTATGAGACACATTTAATAACATCCTGATTGGAAATACAGTACCTGTAATTCTTCTGACTTCATTTATAATTAATGAAAAGGGAGATGAACCGGCTGTGAAAAGGAACGAGCAGCGCATGGACGCTCTCAGGCAGCTCAGCCGCACCATTGTGCCTCTAAAGCTACGCAGAATCCAGCCCACCAAACCCACCAAGGTGGTGTCCCTGTGTGACTGGGTGGACGGACAGGTAAGGTGTTGTCTCACGAAGGTGACAAGTTGGTGAAAGTGTTGTCAGGCTCATTTCGTCATCTTCTCATGGATGTAGGAAGCAGTGGAACGTGATGAGATGCTCAACCTGAAGTCCTTCGCTGACGATAAGAAGTGGAATCTCGAGGACAAAAACGGGAAGATCAGAACCCTCCCTGGGGCTTGTTTTGAGATCCCACCGCCTGATACTGAGGTGCTGGAGACCGTTAACAGGTACACTAATAAACTCTCCTGTTGTTTTAGGTAATTAACCCAAAGACAAAGCCTAAATTCATCTGGAACAGCTTTAAAATAAATGTGTGTTTGTGGTTCAGCCTGGACAGAAAGCTGGCAGACCTGAAGAAGCGTAGATCAGGGCTGATGGACTCCTTGAAGAGCCCTGCGATGGAGGTGGTTCAGTCCCAGAAGACAGGTGACAAGACAGCCCTCCACATTTTCTCATGGTCAGACCCTCACATTTATGGACTGTTTGTTCTCAGAGTGGACTTTTCTTTTCTTTCTGTTCCTGATCAGTTGTTATGCAAAGTTCTCCAGACGATATCAAAGCTGCAGATGTCCTCAGTGACATAGACCGGATCAACAAAGCTTTGGACAGGAGTGAAAAAGAAATTCTGAACAGACTGAGGACCCCACTGGATAGTCACAGTCCAATACAAGACCTGGAAAACAAACAGCGGGACCACGAGGTGTGCTTTCATAAAACAATTCCTCAAAACAAGAAAAATAATCATTAAAGCATCTTTACTTTATTCGGAAAGTTTAGTTTTTTAGATTTGCAACAGTAATGCTGCGTTCAAAGCTGGTAAAAAGCTGGTAAATCTGAGTGTTACCAGATTTACTTAATTATTGGGAAAAGACAAATTTCCAACTTGTCAGAATAGCTCATTACCTCTATAGTAAACCTCTATATTAAAACACATATGCTAACTTTAACATTAATGGATTCCAAAAACATTAATTAAGGGAACTGTACGGTTAAAATGACCTAAAATTAGCAGAAATGATCGGAAAATTTTTCAGGAGAAAAAATGTGTGTGTATGTTACTGGAAAATATATATTTTCCTAGTAGTTTTTCCACTAGAAGAATAACCGAACCACTTTTGATGTTTATTTCACCTGTACAGTTCACAAAAGTTAACATTTTCTTCTTGTGGAAAAACTACCAAAAAAATATATATTTCCGGTAGTTTTAGCAGAGGAAGAAAATACCAGAAAACATATTTTAAGTTTATGTGTTTTAGGAGTTATGAGCTATTGTGCCAGGTTAGAAATGAGTCTTTCCCCAATAGTTCAGTAAATCTGGTAAAACTCATATGTCCCAGCTTTTTTCTAGCCTTGAATGCAGCATTTCCTTTGTGAATCTGAAGCAGTAAGAAAGTCTCAAGGCACACAGGCAGCTGATCCGTGTGCTCTTGTTGACTGGTCTGTCCACAGCAGGTGGTTTGTGCACGTGTATTTGACTATTTGTATGCACAGAATATTTCTACTTGTGCAAACTGAATGTGTACATTTGAAAAACTGGTTATGTATTTGTCAAACTTGTGGTACGCTTATGGATCTTACTGTACGCATACAAATCTTGTTGTACACTTGTGTGACTACTTTTGAGACTGATTTATCTCCATAGATTTGGATCGTTTGCAAATGTCACATCTCTATTTTACATGTTTCACACAATTGAAACATCAATAGACGTATGTGTCTCCTTTCGTTCAGCATGCCTCTCCCTGCTACATTTATCTTTTAGATCCATCCAGAGTGCAGAACGTGCACACCCAAACTCTCTTTGGCTTCCTTATATTTTTAATCTGTAATTTTCTCGTCCAAACTTAAAAATTTGGTCTCTTCAATCTTTCAAATCTCCTACATAATGTACGTAGAAATAAATTTACACATGTGGCCACCAGACATTTTGGCTTCTCGACGTTAAAAACTTTTTAAAAATGACATATTTTTCACACATCAACAGTTTGAAGCAGGTTTCTGTTAGATGACGAGAAGTGTCTGTGCTTGTCCTCCCTCCACTTCCCAGAAAAGGCGGGAGTCGCTATGACAACCATTGGCTCAGCACTTTCTAAGTTACTGTATTGGGTTATTTCTTTTTTTATCCTTCCGTCATGGCTGCCCCATACATCTTGAATGATTTGAGGGCTTCTATCTTTATAGTTAAAAGTCCAGAAAAACTGACGGGGCAAACAGGAAACGTTTTTTTTCCACACAAAATTTCAAAACAAAGCTCTATGAGTCATTTCTTTCAGGCAGAAGGTGCACTGGAACCCTTAGAAGTTTCTTCAGAAATGTTTTTGTGTTAAAACCCTGTTCCTGTTCTGCAGAAATTTGCTCAGACGGTCAGAAAGCTGGAATCTGAGAAGTTTGCCATCCAAAGAGAGATGGACCCCATTCTGGCCAAGAAACCTCTGGGTCCCACTGCCTCCACTGTGGCGCTTAAACTCAGCTCCGCCGACAACAAGATCCACAACATCAACATGCTTATTGAGCTTTACAACAAAAAGTACATTTTTTATTAATTGAATATAAAAACTATATCATCTCCGGTGTAAGTGCACGGTGTTTGTAGTTTATTTTGTTTGCTCTTTGTCTCCTTTCAGAGTTTTAGCCTCAATGTTCCTGGAGAAGCAGAAAAAGAAGATTGATGGTTACGTCTCAGGGTTTGAGGACAAACTCGCTAAAGATGGTGTCATCCTTAGTGAAGAGAAAGCTCTTCAGACTCGCATTAATAACCTCCAGGTGTTGAATCATCTTAACCAATTAAAAAAAAAAAACACTTGAAAGTGTAGAGCACCAAACCAAAATGTAGTTTTCCTTCTCTGTTTAATCTTTCTGATTAATCTCCAACAGGCGATGCAAAACGATGCTCTATCCAACAAAGACGAGCTGAGACAACTGGGCAAAGATTTGGACCTGGTGAAGCAAGCGTGCAGCTCTCTGCAGCAGAGCGCCAACGAGTACTGCCCGGACGTCCGCCGGCAGGAGAGCGAGGTGAAACAACTGAAGAACAGGGACACGAATGTCAACAATCAGATCCAAGAGAGGTGAGGGCAACACAAACCCACCAGCCATTACTGCTACAGTATAAATGTTTTTTTACTTGTGTATTTTCTGTATGTTTTGCTTTAGGTTGGCTTTTCTAAAGCAAGGAAACAATAAAGTTCAAGAATTTGAAAGTGCGGTACAGTCACTGGATTTTTTCTTGGTCAATTTGCCAAATAACTCGGTCAAACCTACCGACGGGCTGGCAGAAATAAGAGCCAAGGAGAAATCTCAGAGGGTAAATGGGTTTTATTATCTGTCTACAACTTTTCCACAAAGTTTGTTCCTCTTTAAAATCTAAATGGAAACAAGTGAAATATGTAGGTTGCAAAAGTACACAGCCCCTTGACATGCTTTCCATTTTGTTGCCCTACAACCTGGAGTTCAAAAAGATTGTTTTAAGAATTATGTTTCTTAATTTAATCAGCTACCATTTTAAAATGCAAAATAGTATTTTGTTGTGAAACAAACAAGAAATAAGACAAAAAATATATTGACATCCTGAAAAAGAAATCTGTTGAAGTCTTCCAGATTTGAAACTGAGACAGAAGTTCAGAAGTTTTTCCCTCTTTCCTTCAACTTCAGCCAGTTTCTCAGTCCCTACTGATCAAAGACATCCCCACAGCATGATGCTGCCACCACCGTGCTTCACTGTTGGGAGACTGTTGGCTTTGACGGCCAAAAATGGTTGTTTTAGTCTCCATCTAACACCTTTATTCTACTTGTTTGAGAAGTCTCTGGTGTTTTTATTTTCTTATTTTGTCAAATTCCAAATTATCTGACAATCTTCCACGCAGCCCAGCTCTGTTGACCTTTTAGTGGTCAGATGAACCAACTCCTAGCCTCTTGTTTGCTTCTCTAATTATTGTCCTCCTTGCCCAGTACATGAGTTTTGAAGGACGACCTTCTCCTGCTTTGGTGGTATCATCTTTTAATTATGTTATAATGAAACAATTTAATGAAGATCTGTAAGCTGTTTAAGGTTTAACATGTTTTTTTTAATAACCCAACCTGGATTGGTACTTTTCCACAACTTTGTCTCTGACCTGTATGAAGAGTTCTTGCATGCAAAACATTTGTTTGTTATATTTTACAAAAACGTTAGCCCCAATTTTCACAAATCAATATGAAGTATTTTGTGTTGGTTCCTTAGGTGCAAACTAAACCATATTACTGTAGGTTGTAAGGCAACAAAGTGGAAATAATTCTGACAGAGTCTAATACTTTTGCAGCCTTCTGTTAGTCTCTACTGTGACTTCTGTTTTTTTAAAACAATGTTCTTGTTTAGAGAGTGGTGGAGGACATCAAGAAGAGGTCTGCTGATTTAGTCAAAGTTAAGGACCTGTCCAAAGATCTGCAGAGTGTTTTAAATGTGAGTTTAGAAAACAGCTTTTATGAAATGTTAAATTTACTTTAGATCTAGTATCAAACTTGTATTTTCTTTCAGGAGTATGAGACAAAGTCAAAGGTTTATTCTGGGACTCTGGGCTATGAGGAGGAAGAAGATGACGACAGCAATGAGACACCAGTAAAAACTCCACCTCTGGCTAAGGAGGTTCAGAAAATGGTGCGACTTCAGACAGAAGTGATTTAAAGGTATGTTTGGTCATTTCTAGTGTTTTAAAGCAAATGTTGGGTTTTTCCTCTGCTGCAGGAGAAAGCTGTACTGAACCACTTCTCTGAGGTGTCAGCTGAAAACAACCAGCGCCTCCATCAGATAGAAACTGCAAAGAACATAGTGGAGAGGGTATGAGCTCCTCACTTCAAAATGCTGCCAGCAGCTGTTATTGTCAGTGTTTTCTACACAGTCTCATGTGCTGCATCGTCCTTTATTTGTGTGCAGAATGAAGAAAAGGTCAGTCAGGTTGTTGTCAGTCAGCGGCTCCAGCTTCAAAGCCAGCAGAAGGACATGGAGGCATCCGATAGTCTGAAAAGGGAGTTAAATGAAGAGGTTAACAGGCGCTTGATCGCTGAGAAAAATTTGGAAACTTTCAGTAAGAGATTTTTGTCTCTCAAGAGTAGAAGAGGAGTGGAGAGGTTGGAGGAGAAGGAGGTGGTGCAGTACTACCGTGATCCCAAACTGGAGGTGGAGCTCCAATCGCTGAAGGCTCGCATACACGAAGAAGATTTGAAGAAATCAAGAACCCAGTCTGAGATTGAAATGATCAATGAGAGGATCATAACCACAGAATTACAGCTGACCAAAGTCGAACCTAAACTGATCACCAAGCTCCTCACGGAATACGAGAGAGACCCCCAGCTGGAGAAAGAGGCAGTTAAGATTAGAGAAGAGATTCAGAGGATTTGGCTAGAGCTCCAAACAAGAGATTCAGAAACGGTTCACAAGAAAACTGAGCTCACAGTTCTGTCCCAGCAGAAACCAAATATCAGGGAGAAGGTTGTTAAGAAGGAAGTGGTGAGACTCGAAAAAGACCCGGAGATGCTGAAAGCCGTTCTAACATTCCAGGGTGATATCGCAGAGGAGGAGTTGAGGTGCAAGTCTCTGAATGAAATCATTTTCACTACCAGGAGCCAGATAAACAGTTTGGAGAGGGTTATCCACACCATTGAACCCAAAATCATCACCAAGGTGGTGAAACAAGTACAGCAAGATCCAGAACTGATTGATGAAGCAAAGAGAATAAAAACGGCCTTGGAAGAGGAGAAGGATGAGAACGTTATCCTGATAAAGGACCTGACCACCTTTCAGTTACGTTACGGTGAACTGGAAAAGGTCAAACCTAAAATGGAAATCAAAGAGATTGTCAACGAGATCTACAGAATCGATCCTGATACTGAAGTGGAGCTGGTCCGTTTGAAGAAAGAACTGCAGGACGTAAGCCGGAACCGCGTCAACCTGGACAAAGACATTGACATGGTGATGGCAACACTGACCACCCTGCGCACTCAGAAGCCCAAGGTGGAGTACAAAGAGGTGACCCAAGAGGTGATCAAAGAAGAGAAAAGCCCAGAGGTCACGAGGGAGTTACAAAGGCTGAGTAACCAAGTCTCCCGTCTGCAAGTCAACTATGACACCACCCTAGAGCTGCTACTTCGCCTACGTAAGGAAAGAGATGAGCTGAAAGCTGAAAAATCTAAGGTGGAGACAAACCTTATCACAAAAGAGGTCATCAAGTATGAGAATGATCCTCTTTTGGAGAAAGAAGTTGACAGACTTCGAAGGAACGTTAGAGAGGAGATTCACCAGCGCCGCAGTGTGGAGGAATTGCTCTTTGAGTTGCAGAACCAATACATTACCCTTGAGAGGCAGAAGCCAGAGGAAAAGATTGTGACACAGGAAGTGGTTCGTCTCCAGAAGGACCCCAAGCAGATCCAGGAGCATGAAAAGCTAAACAAGAACCTGGATGATGAAATAAAGACGCGTAGAAAATTCGAATTAGAGGTTAGACAACTGATGGCTAGGATTGAGGAAAAAGAGCGAAGTCTGGCAGATATGAACGAACGCCAGAGGAAGATCCAAGTGGAATCTGAGCTGAGGCAGATCAAAACTCGCATTTTCGAGCTGGAGAATGCCCCGCCACCCGTTGAAGAAAAGATCGTCATCGAGGAGGTTCTGAAAGTGGAGCGGGACCCTAAGCTAGAAAAACTCACTGACGGTATTCGGGCCGACTTGGAGACGGAGAGCACCAACTACAGTCGCCTAGAACGAGAAATTCGAAACCTCAAGATCAAGCTGGAAATCCTTCAAAAGGAGAAATCAGTTGAGAAGGTTGTTTACAGAGAAGTCATTCGTGTAGAAAAAGACCCAGCAGTGGAAGCTGAGAGGGACCATTTCAGAGAGTTATTAGCTCAGGAAAGAAATCTTAGGCAAGTGCAGGAAGCCAGCAACCAGAAAATAAGCATCCAGATCAAGCACTTTGAGACCTCAAAGTCTGTGACATCTCAAGAGGAGACAACTCTCGTCTCCCAAAGAGATACTCTACAAAGAGAGAAGGACGACCTCCTCAGACAGTTCAGAATGCTAGAGTCAGAGAGACAAAACATCAGCATAACCTTCCAGCAGCAGTCCAAACTGATGAGTGAGAGGAACCAGCTGGCACGACAGAGAAGTCTCAAAACAAACTCTGAGATACAGCGGCTGGAGAAGGAGATCCTGAACGAGAAGGACAAAATACACCAGAGAAACACGCTCATCATCGAGCTGCAGAATGGAATCAAGAATGAGGATCATTCTGAAACTCACACCAGAGAAACAAACCTCTCGACAAGGATAACCATCCTGGATCCAGAGACTGGTAAAGACTTGTCTCCCTATGATGCTTACTTACAAGGAGTGATCGATCGAAACAACTACCTTCAGCTGTCGCAGCTGGAGTGCGACTGGGAGGAAATCACCTCAACCGGTCCAGATGGAGACAACACGGTTCTGCAGGATCGAAAAAGCGGGAAGCAGTACTCTGTCAAGAATGCTCTTAAGGAAGGACGCCTGACTGAGTATGATGTGAGCCGTTACAAGGGAGGGAAAATGTCCATTTCTGAGTTTGCCCTCCTTGTTGCAGGAGAAAGAGAGAAGCCATACATTCCCCCATTAACGCCAAAATCTCCTGCCAAACCCATTCCAAGCTCTCCTATGAACTCAATGCCATCACCTCTTAGATCCTCGTACAGCAGCCTGAACAGCAGCCTGAACAGCAGCCTGAACACTCACCTCACTGGCAGTTCAAGCAACCTCCTTGCCTCATCAGGCGATGAACATTTCCCAATCTCTGGCATATATGACACCACCACCGAAAGCCGCATGTCTGTGAGAAGCGCCCTCACCCGCAAACTCATTGATGCTGACACAGCTCTGAAACTGCTGGAAGCCCAAGCAGCCACCGGCGGGATTGTGGATCTCACCAAAAAGGACAAGCTGTCTGTCCACAAAGCGTCCGAGAACGGGCTCATCGACTCAGGCCACATGTATAAACTGCTGAACGCCCAGAAAGCCTTTACTGGGGTCGAGGATCCGATGACAAAAGAGCGTCTTGCAGTGGGACAGGCGGCACAGAAAGGGTACATCCCGTCAGAAAATGCCAAGAGGTACATGGAGGCACAGTACCTGACCGGTGGGTTGGTGAATCCCAATAAAGCAGGCCGCTTAACTGTTGAAGAGGCCCTCTCCACCAAACTGATCAACAGCACAACTGGAGATGAGCTGAAGAATGAGGCTTCCCACACTAAAGAGCTGGTTGACCCGATCACCAAAGAAAAGATAACTTACAAGCAGGCTATGGATCGGTGCCGGAGAGACGTCACCACGGGGCTCTTATTGCTTCCTGCAGCCTCCACTAACGTTTTGAATGCACCTTCATACTCAAACTTTCGTTTCTAGAAACAGGTTAAAATATTAGTTTGCTACAACCAGAGGTGTTAAACGGTAGAAAATGGAAGCAACAGTTTTTTTTTTTTTTTTTCAAAAAGATTAAAAATAAAAATAAATAAGGTTTGGTGAAAATTATACATGAATATAATTTTTCTTAATGATTTAAGGTTACTGTAAAAAAAAAAAAAAAAAGTGTGTGTGTGGGGGGGGGGGTAATTTTTGTTTGATAAACTTGTTTCTGTTTTATGTGAAGTTTAATTATTCAAGTGTCAAATAAACTCAAGTTTTACGTTAATTTCTTCGCCCCTTGATTTACAATATTTAACAAAGCAAGTCCAAGTATAAAAACGGTTTAAAGTTCAGAGTATTGTGATACTTAATGCTCTGAACACGGCTGAGGTGGGGCATGATCTGCTTTGTGTGGTGCCATAGTTCAGATCTTATCAAGTGGAGTTTTATGGAAAGTTTATGAACAATTCTTATCTTCCCTGTCGTTTTGCATTACAGTAGTATTTATGGTCATTTGCGAGAAGCCTTAACAACACTGACTTCTGATGCAGGGCACCAGCAGCAGATCTATCAAAATAGTCTGCTGGAATAAGTGTTTAATGTAAAATTGAAAAAAAAAAACACTTGAAGACTGAAGTTCTTGCAGACATCAGTGCTACATTACATGTTTAGTTTAGTTAATGTAACACTATAGTGTAAGTTTGAAATTCTTAGCAAAATTCCCCAAGGCAGCATAAAAAGTGCTACAGCTAGCTGATGCTAAAGCTATGCTACTGCTATTTGCACTTTTGTATAGTCTGTTCATAAAATTCAGTATAAAAATATTATGAAAACTGAAAGCAATTTCATAATTTATAAAACATTCACATGAGCCCCTATTATTTTTTTGAGATTAGAGTTGCTTTAGTCCAGCAGTTTGGTCTTAGCTCCTCTTGGACTAGCCGTCAGCTTGTCGAGCTAATTGGCCTTTTCTTCCAACTGGCTGCTAATTAAAAAAGCTAAAACATTAATTGCACAAATATTGTTTTATATAATCCCACTTCAAATTTTTTTATTAGCATCAGATTTTTTGCTAAGATGTCGAATAACTTTTTAAAATTTAAATAAATGATATATCTCTGTGCACACTAAGCTATCTAAAACACCATTAGTGCACATGGTAGACCTCTTGAACTTCATCACACTGCAGTTGTCACTGTAAACACACCAGGTTCAGCCTATAGATCTGCTGGCAGACTGCAAAGTTCTGTTGTTAGTATCAATATGAAGGACGTCAGTGTCCGTGGTGCACTTCCAGGTAGAACTGGCTCCATATGACGGTAAACCATCTGTAACGGTCAGTACTTATGACAAGGTAAAAATCCTGTACTTGATGTACGCAGTGAGTAAACCGAGGCGAGTCACATGCTTAGAAACACTGGATTAAGGATACAGCTTAAACATGACTCACGTGCACGTAGTGTGTTAAGGTTAACCAGGACAAACTAACAGGGACTGCCCACACAAACACACACAGCAAAGATATCTATAGAAAAAATAATCCCACCTACTAAATTTACATGTAAAATGCTCGTTTTATTTAGAAATGTGATATTCGTGAAACAAATGTGTGTTTTTGTGACCGGCCCTGATGTTGGACTGTGCAGCCTTTGTGTTGGGTTGTCTGGTTGTCAGATTATTAATGACTGGACAGACTTTGTGGGATTACTGTCTGAAGGCTGAAGTGACTCCAGTCTGTATCCGAAGGGGCATTGAGCGATATAATCTGATGGGTCACCTCATATCAGGTAGAAGACAAGCAGAGCTTGATGTGTTTTGACACACTTCTCTTTTTTTCAGACAGTTTAGTGTCTGGAAAAAATAAATAATCTGATAGTGACGTATATGTGGTCTGCCTCCTCAGTAAAACGCTGGCTGAATAGCCCAGAGTGTGACAGCAGTGCATTCACCACACAGATGGCACTTTAGCTTTGATTGAACATAATTCCTGGCTGACGTATGTGATAATGAACTTCTTCTTTTGTTTTGCTTGGGTGTTGTTGTAATTTTCACCCAGCGCTGAACCTTTACAAGGAACATCTGTACTTTTGTTTCCATTCAGTAGCACCATGACTGATGATGACTGTGCTTCCTTGACTCGGCTGTTATTGTGCCAACATCATATGATTTTAAAAGCACTGATTCTGTCAGCTCTATTCTGGGTTCTCATTTTTTGTCAAGGAAAAAAAAATGTTGTCACCATAAATATGCACAAATCATTAAAAAAAATGCAACTAGCATTTTTAAATGAATACTTTCAGTTCAGATTGCTGAAAAAATAATACTACATCTTTAACTGTTCCCTTTTCAGGGATTGCCACAGTGAGTCATCCTCCTCCCTCTCACTCAGACAATAACCACTGAATTAGCAAGACTGGAAAAGTAACTGACTGAACTAGGCGCTTTATGGTCTGCATCTTGCTAGAGGCTATGCCTATAATGCTTACATGTCTGTCACACATCGTTAATGCCTTATGTGTTCTGCGGGGTTCTACACACAGCAACAGCTTTATGTACATTAAAAATGTTTTTTGTGCATTGTGAAAACAGAAGACAAGAGTTTTCTGTAATGAACCTGCCAACAACCCTGGTCGGGCATCAGTTACAGCAAAATGCAGACCCCTTTATCAGAACTTGGCTTTGCCAAGTTAAAAGTCAGTCATGAACTTTGAGCACCATTAATTAAAATATTTAGGTGAGTGTGTGGATATATTATAGTCTCCATCTTCTACCGCTTGTCGATAGTCGGGTCGCAGATGCAGGAGGTCCAGAAGAGAAATCCAGACATCTCTCTCCTCAGCAACACTTTCTAGCTCCTCCTGGGGGACTCTGGGGTCTTTCCAGGCTAGAGAAGATACACAATCCTTCCAGCAAGTTCTGGATTTTCCCTGGGGCTTCTTACCAGTGGGACGTCCCTGGAAAACAAATGGAGGTGCCTAGGAGGCATGCTAATCATATACCCAAGCCATCTTAACTGATTTCTTATGATGTGAAGGTGCAGCGAACCTTCGTCAAACTCTCCCCTGATGACAGAGTTTTTTCATTCAATCAATCCATTGAGCCTCGAGGACTCATTTACAAGAGAGACCTGATTTCAACGAAGAATAATGACAACAGTGGACAACAGCAACATAAAAGAGGCGTACAATTTTAAAATTTTGTTTGCTTGTTTTTTTTACAAATTAAAATAAAATGGCAACTAAAAGGACAATCAAAAGGAAAAAGTAGCGGAAAAAAACAGCTAGATTATAAGGCAGTGTAGAAAACTAAAAACAGGAAGAAGAAAGTGCTATGTGTTGTCATATGTTCCCATACAAAGATGAAATTGGCTCTCTGCATTTAACCCATCACACCTGGTGGGGCAGTGGGCAGCTATGTAGGCGCCTGGGGAGCAATTTGGGATTAGACACCACAAGATGTGCAATGACCAGAGATTGAGCCCAGGACCTTTGGGTCTCAGGTTGGCTGTCCTGCCACTACGTCATCTCAGCCCCTAGAACATGTCTGCATTGGTTCTTGCCATAGACTTAATAGATGTTTAAAGCCACTTAGAGAGGTCAAGGTCGAGAGCTTCAGATCTTTTTGCAAAATATTCCAGGAAACAGGAACAGAGTAGGAGAAGGCCCTTTTGTCTAGTTCAGTCCTCACTGAGGGAACACTGCAGGTAATAATGTCCTGGGAGCGCACGCTGTAGCTGCACTCACACAGAGACATGTAGGAGGAGATGTATGAAGGCAGCAGACCAAGAAGTGATTTAAAGATGAAAATGTACAAGTGAGAGAGTCTGCATGAAGTTAATGATGTCCAGTTAACCAGTGAATACAGGGTGCAGTGGTGGGTACGATAATCACAGCCAGTTCTGAATCTTAGTGCACCATGATAGACAGCATCCAACATCTGCAGGGTTCTTGTAGGAGCATTCATGTAAATAATGTCACCGTAATCAATGGAGGGAAGGAAAGTCACAGATACAAGGTGTTTCCTAACATTTAAGGTTAGACGGGATCTATTTTTGAAAAAGAAACCCAGTTTAATTTTTCGTTTCCTTACTAGGTTTTCCACATGAAGCAGTTCCTCACTGAGCAGCCACTTTATGAAGGAAGTCTAAAAAAGTTAAATCTGGTCCTCTGGACATTCAAAAAAACCCAAAACAAAGCAAAACAACAAAAAATGTAGAAACGTTTCGTCTCTCATTGAGCATGCATCAGGATATTTTATGAAGGAAGCTAATTTCGGCCACTTAAATCTGGAATCTTGGTTTTTTTGGTCATGATCCAAACCTCATGACCATAGGCGAGGATTGGAATGTAGTCAAACCAGTAATTCAAGATATTTGCCCTTCAACTCAACTCTGTCTTCACCACAACCAACCTCATTACTGAGAACGAGGCCCTAAATGCATTGATCCATCTCCTGCTCTATCCCCCTTGAACAAAATGCTCAGATATTTAAACTCAGTTTAATTTCACACTCAGCTGCAAACCACCTCTGTGCGCTCCACTCCATCACAGGACTCTCATCTTGAGCAAGCATGAAGGCAACAGTGGAAAGGAAAACCTCCCTAAAGAAACCTTTAGCAGAACCAGGCGAGTAAGCCTGCAGTCTGAGAGCAAGGTGCTCTGTTAGGCCATGGTCCTCTATTGGAAAAAGGTGGATTGCTCTCTTCAGGTCGAGGGTGAGGTTCTGCCTCAAGTGGAATATTTCAAGTATCTTAGGGTTTTGTTCACGAGTGAGGGAAGAATGGAGCGTGAGAGTGACAGACAGATTGATGCAGCGTCTGCAGTATTGCGGACTCTGTACCGGTCCGTTGTGGTGAAAAGGGAGCTGAGCAGTAAGGCAAAGCTCTCTGTTTACCAGTCAGTCTGTGTTCCTACCCTCACCTATGGTCATGAACCCTTAGTAGTGACCGAAAGAATGAGATCGTGAATAAAGGAGGTTGAAATGAGTTTCCTCTGCAGGGTAGCTAGACTCTCCTTTAGACAGGGTGAGAAGTTCAGTTATCCGGAAGAGACTCATAGTAGAACCGCTACTCCTCCACATTGAGAGGAGCCACTTGAGGTGGTTTGGGCCTCTGGTAAGGATGCTACCTGGGTGTCTCCCTAGGGAGGTGCTTCGGGCATGTCCGACTGGGAGGAGACCCCGAGGAAGACCCAGGACACACTGGAGAGACTATGTCTCTCGGTTGGCCTGGGAACAACTTACCAGAAGAGCTGGAAAAGGTGAAAGAGATGTCTGGGCCTCCCGGCTCAAGCTGCTGCTCCCGCGACTCGACTTCAGAACAAGTGGAAGATAGTGGATGGATAGATGGTCAGTTGACAGCTCTGCTCCTTTCTTTACCTGAGTGTCCAAGACAGGGGGCCACATGCAGTGGTGTAGTCTACATTTTTGTAATGAGCATACTGTGCTTAGAAACCAAAGTACACTGGCTAGTACAATGTAATCGTCAATTTATTTTGATTTTTAAGCGTAGGGAACATTTCCAAATTTCTCTGATGCTTGTATTTGAATAAATGAACTTTGTACAACAGTTGGCTTTGTATTAAAAACGTTATAGAATTAATAAAACAGTATCAAAGCAAAGCGCTGCATACCGATGGATTGTTACAGAAGCGTTTAACTGCCGTTTAAAGTATCGATGACACGCGCCTAATGATATATCATGTATCGTTGGGCATTTTTAAGTGGATATACTGAAATTTTTAAGCTTTTCTAGTGGGTATACTCAGTATACCAGAGTATTGCGTAGACTCCACCACTGGCCACATGTCTGATGACACAATTACAAAATCAGTCAAGGACCTTTGGCCTGATACCAAGTCCACTTACAGACCACCGTATACTCGAACAGTGTTCGTTATGGACAGCCCATGCCTACCACAGGTCCAATAACAGAACTTTGTTCGGGTTCAGATCAGGGAAGTTGTCCCACCCAGTCACCCCCTCCAGATAACTCCATCATTGTCCACATGGACATTGAAATCACTCAGTATATAGAACAAGGGAATCCCAGGACGGCACCACTCCAGGTCAACATTCAGAGTCTCCAGGAAGGCGGAATAATCTGAACTGCTGTTTGTTACATAAAGTAAATCCATTCCGCTGATTTCTTACCTTAAGCTGCTGTATTCATACCCATCTGCTCACAACACTCATGTTCATGCTGTTTAATACACCGTATTATATTATATTATTAGTGTTTAGTGTATATCTTAGATCCTTGTATACTGTTTCTTTTTATACTTTATATTTTTGCTATTTTTGGGTGTCACTGGGACCTTGAGTACACAATTTCGTTCCACCTCATGTACCACATGTGATGCGAATGACAATAAAGCCTCCTTGCACCTTGAACCTTGAAACCCAAACAGTCCTTCTTGTAGCCCGAAGCCGCAGAGAGGTAACCCTCTCGCTCACCAGGGAACACCGAGACATGTTTTCAAACCATTCCACTTTGGATAAAAACCGTTCAAATAATCATTAAAATATCCACGAGTGTCTTCAGTTACATCCTATAAGAAATAGATGGGTAAAAGAAACAAACGTTCACTTTGGAAGTTGATTTCCTTAAAAACATTTATCAGGGGAAAAACTATCATTTTTGATTAGAGCTAAAAGCTGCGAATACCAACAGACTTGAAAGCAACACGAGACCCACTCTGCAGAACACCCACCATTTTACAGCCCCACAAATTTTAATGTTAAGTTTTGACCTCGACATGTTTTGTTCGTGGGCATCCATGATAATTAAAGAATAACCGTGCACATGCTTTTGTTGTGCTTCTTTATGACTCTTCTATTGCATCTCGCTAAAGAATTAATACTTTTTGCATTTACTGCAGTAATTTTTGAGTGTACTCTCCAAGTTTGTCCTTCAGAGGACGGAGCAGCCGGCTGTGTAACATTCAAGGATTAAAATCTGAGTCAGTGCCTGAGTCCATATTAAAGCTGCACTGGTGTAAGACACTGCTACAAATAAACTAGAATCAAACAGAAAGCCTACAAATTGTTAAAGATATTAAAAGACCCTGGATTTCTTGAAGGAATGCAAATCACCTGCAGCTTTTTGACTTTCAGGACTGAGAGCATCTGATGTAGAGAAATGACAGAGTTGTAGTTGTTTAGCTCAAACCTTGAAAACAAGGATCTGTTAGCCCTTGGAGTATTCAGAATGACTGTCAGCTACAACCACGTCAAGTTTTAAACATCTCTCAAATTATCTGCAGAATAACTATATTAACGTTTCAGTTTTAATAAATTCTACCCTGTGGTTAATTAGATATTTTGCTAACAGATCAGGTTGACTTTGAAAGTAAAGGACAAAGATTTAAGCACAAACACAGACAATAAGGTGGTGATCAGTCTCAGCTACTACCACACCAATTTGTAGCTCCACATCTGTAAAACTGACTGAGCTTTAGCCATTGTATTGTTTTCTAAGGTTAATTGGTTGTGGTGGCCATCTTGAATTAGACTGTCCAAAAAGCAGCTGTAGACGTATAAATCTATCATTTTCTGATTGTTCAATGAAATCAGTCCTGTTATTCATGAGATATTTTGCTAACAATACAAAACAAACATGTACACAAAATTATTGTTTCCCTTTTTCCAGTGGCACCTCCAGAATTTATTTTAACGGGGGCCATGTGGGGGCCACTGAAAACCCTGGGGTGGCACAGCAAAACCAAAATGCCAGAACAGAATTTCAGATTTGTTACGTCACATACAGATTATTTAAAAATTACAGCAATAAGGTAGTTTGATAGTATGACAGTGGGAAATCACCTTCTGATATACATACATAACATTTAGATTTATTTTATGTACTGTTGATATTATTTATTGAGAAAATCACAATCACTATTCAGCTTATTGAAGCTTGTCCTTTCTTAAATTTGTATTTATATATATATAAAAAAACAAAACTTTTTGAGAACCTGCTTCCTGGTGTGGAGGACTTTGGTTTTAAATCAGTTGTCCTTAATCAAGGGGACAAGACTTTAAGTTTATAATTTTAAAGGTAAATATATTTGTGTTTTTAATTCCTAACTCATCAAAAACTGTTTTTTTTTTTTTATGTTTATGAGGTTTTAATAATCCTGAATAGCTAGAATAAATTAAGGATGCACACGAAGCACAAGCTTGGGACTCTAGATAAAACTGTCAGGCTCAGTGGGGGACAATGGGGTGGCCATCAATTCTTTAGAGGTGGCTGTCCCCCCCAACCACCCCTCTTGGTGGCACCCTGCCTTTTGCCTTCAGTATCATCTAAGGTAGAAGATCATCGTTAAATATTTTGTTTAAAAAAATTGACTGAAAAGAAGCAAATAAGGAGCACAACCTTCCATCTTTAAAAAAAAAAAGTATAAAACATTTTATTGACATTCTGTTACTGCAAAAGAAACAAACGCACACGAACATCGTTTACAAAGTCTGTCGTCGCAGTGGAAAATGTCTGAAACGTGCAGGCTTACATGCAGGTTTACATCAGGTCAGTGGATCTGCGGCGCGTTACCGAGCAGCTCTAAATCCTCAGACGTTTACGACAGCTAAAGCTCCTACCAAGGAGCTGAAGGAGCTGGTGCTGAGCGGCTAACCCCTGATGACGGCTGACGTCAGCTCACGCTGTGTGGAAAGCACGGGAAGGTGTTAAGCAGGAAACAGCTTACTGTGCAGCCAGAGGTCTAAATGCAACATGAAGCTCAAATTAAGAGTTCAACTCGTCACTTTCTATTTCTTATACAAGATTACACAGAAAACACTTGACAGCACGGGCTATTAGTCTTGTTTACTGAGCAACAGGGTTCAATAAAAGTCCAATAAATGAGCAAATAAAGCAGTCACTGACAACTTTCTGTCTGACAGGTTCAACACGAGGTGCGTGGGGTTTTAAAGAAGTCATACGTCGACTTGCTCATCAGTCTTTGTGAGCGGCAGGGTCAGGGGATGCTGCGGGAACCGGATGGCCTCGCTGTTGCGGCGCATGTAGGCGTGGCCGTTGATGGGGTAACACATCTCAGTGAAGGTGAGGTTGGCCACGGTGATGGCGCAGCGGCCCAGCACCTTAAAGCCCGACTTGCGGTAGAAGGGAATGAGGAAGTCCTCGCACATGAGCACGGCCCGGCGCACGTTGGGCAGGCAGCGGAGGTACTGCAGGTAGCGCCACATCAGGATGGGGCCCTTGCCCTGCTGCCTGAATGTGCGGTGGACGGCCAGGATGTGGATGTGGACGGTGGAGCCGCGGGGCTTGTGGAGGGTCAGCGCTTCCTGAGCAGCGTGGAAAAGACAAAGAGGGATTTGAACATTTTAGTTGTGGACTTGAAAATATTTTGAACAACGAATGTCGCTGCAGCTCCGTACTGACGGAAGCTCCGTCAGCTTTCTCCTAAGAGAACCGAAACCAAAGTGGTGACGCTACAGCCATGGCGTCACCATGGCAACCACACACCTGCGTCTCTGAAGCTACAGAGAGACAAACAAGAAGGCAGAGTGGAAACTAAGCCTAAAGAAAACAGCCACTGTTAAACAAAAAGTATCAGCTCTGTTGGAAAAATTTCTGACCCGAGTTTTATGTTGGAAAACTGACAAATTAAAGTGACCCTTCAAATTAAAAGTCTGGGCTTAAATATAGTTTGGATGTTTGCAACGTGCACTCCGAGGGGATGTGAAAAATAAAAAATAAACTATAGGTTCTATAGCAGTGAGAGACACACTGGAGCAAGAAGACAAAAATGTCTATGGTTGATGCACAAACACTTTGAACAGTTTAACAGCTCAAACAAGAGAATGGGTGACATCAACACGCTGTAGGTTGCATATGCAGTGGAAAAAATGTATAAAAAAGCTGAAAATTAAACTTTGATTATATAAAAACTACGACAGATATTCAAATGCCATTTTAGTTACATAAAGTCACAGTTTTTGTGACCCGTTTAAACTCTGAATGATGTTATAGTGTGAAATCTGTCTGAGCTGTAGAGCTCCGAAGAGTTTCTTCAAAATCTTATTGTTGACTTTGGGAAAATTGTTTGCTGTTTTTAGATAAAATTGATATATAATATACAATGTAAAGCTCAGAGCACACTGTTCCTGTTTATGATGCTTAGATGAGTTGTAAAGCTGTGGGAGAAGAATCAAATAAAGAAAATGTGACATTAATAATACAGAAGCTTCAATGGGCGTGGGTTGGGACACTTAGTTAGAAGAGAGTGGGGGTTCTCACCGTGGTCAGCCTGTCCTGGTCCCAGAGAGACCCGATGATGAAAGCCACCAGTCGGCCCTCCTCGATCCAGCCCATGGAGAGCTCCGGACACAGCGTGAGGAAGTGTCGCACCTCGTCCAGGTGGAGGGGACACTCCCCTGACACCGAGATGAAAGCTGGAACAGACGAGAGGAGCAGAAGGAGAACTCTCACCTGCACCTTCTGCTTCAGAGCGGGCCTGCCTCAGGCTGTGACCTCTGACCCGCCTCACTTACCTTCCCTCTCGATTTCAAACACGCTGATGGCATCCTGCGTGTTGAGCGGCCGCACCTCGCTTGCGGGAAGCGTGTGTCTCCGCTGGATCCCGGGCGAAACTGAAGGCGAAGTCTGCATTGGTTTGATGAAAGGCTGTGAGCCCACGACAGACATCACACGACACTTTTCTCTTTCCCCTAAGACAGGGGAGAACAGGACGGATCTGTGTGAGTATTTATGGGGCAGTTCTGACTCACGGGCTCATTTGCATTAGATTTTTTTATGATATGAATGAAACCAGTCTCTGTGTAGAGCCCTGCAATTATCAGTGACTGGTTCTGATCACTAAAACCAACAAAAAGGATGATAATTATCTAAAACCATCAACAACTCTGCCTATTTATAGCAGCTTTGTGGCAAAGCGTTTGATTACTATAATTTAACCCCTCGCATTGAGAACAGCATTGTCTTCAAACATGTGGAGATAAAACAAACATGACCTCAGAATAAGGAGAGAGCAGACACTCACCACAGAGATGGACAGGCCTCGGTGAAGGTTCAACTCTGCGTCTCTCCTGCGCCCCGTCGGTCTTCAATAGGGACTGATTATTACTATGAGTCACATGAGAAAGGATTTAAGTTGTTTCCATAACTAGTCTCATCAGACACTTTATCTCCTGTCTGACTAGAGCTCACGCTCACTTCCTGTCCAAGGTGGCCCAGAGAAAGTTAATCCAATTTTAACGTGGTACTCCGGACAACAGCTTCACTCGGGAAGCTCCTTTCAAAGAAACCAAGTGGTTTTATTTCTGTCATGTATTGATTTGACAAATAGATCATTTTATTTGGCCAGCAAAAGACAAAAAAATATACATAAATGAATAAAAATCAACAACATATGTTCAAAAAATTCCCAAAGATGGCTGGTTTAGTGTCCCCCATAGGGAGAGGACTTGGAAATACCCCCCATCCGTCTATCTGTCTGTCTTGTGATCATGAAAACTTGAAAAAAAAAAAAAAAGTTGAGGTATTTTCATTTTGGTGTGTAGCAACAAAAGGTAAGAAAGGTTACTACCAAAAATTGGGTTGGCACGTCAAAATCAAAGATGGCTACCACCATATAACCAACCAGAATCATCTGAGGAAACTATGCTTTCTAGGTTTTTTTTATTTAATTTTTTGCTTAAAAGTTTAGTTTACTTAAATGAGTTGGGGTGGCTGAAGGTTGATTTACGGTGGCCAAGGCCACCATTGACCACCCACTGGCTCCGTCATTGAAGCTGGTGGTGGATAAAATCGCTCCCTCAACTCGCCTGTCGCTCTGAGCTGCCTAAAAAAACAAAAACAAACAACAACAACAAAAACCCATTTGTTCTTATACACAGTGCAACTTGTACCCTCTTGAATATCTTGCAACAAAAACATTAACGTTCAATTCCCTGTTTATTTCCAGTCCAGAAAAACACTCATTTTGAAAGTTACAAACATCCACTATTCAAATTCCTCAGTGATGAGGGACATCAATGGTTCATTATTGGTAATCAGCCAACAGCTGCTCGTCTGAGGTCATGTCTCTTCAGTAGGAGATCCAACATGGAGGCTCTGGATCAGGGGTGGGCAATTATTTTTTCCATGGGGCCACATGAGAAACAACAAATATTGTGGAGGGCTGGCACAAATGACTTTTTCATTCAACCTTTATTTAGACAGGTAAATCCCATTGAGCCTCGAGGACTCATTTACAAGAGATACCTGATTTCAAGTTAACTCAATACTGCATAATAATAGTATTTCATTATTAAAAGAAGTACATAGCACTGTTTTAACAAGCTGGTAAGAGTATTTGTTATGATTAAGCAACGAAAAAGCGAGGTTTCCTTACAAAAAATGTCATTTTTTTCAATTAAATTTCCCAGTACAATGGTAAACTGTTAACATTTTTACCATTTGTGACATTATATTAATGATCATTTTCAGTCACATTCACCCCAAAACTCATTTTGAGTTTTATATACTGCTGGAAAAAGTTCTTATCTTTCTAAATATATCACAATATTGTCTTTGTACGCCAAATATGAAACATCATATAATAGTGATCGTCACTGAACTGTGATTTCGAGTCCCGGTTCTTTACGTGCCTACATTTGTAGTCTAAACATCTCATTTGGTGTTTTTCAGTTCTTTTTTCTTGTTTAGTGAGAGAAGTTTAGTCTCTGTTGGGCTTTAACGGAAATGTTAAAGTCAGGTTGAAGGTCTGAGGTGGAGATGTGAAGCAAAGCTGACATCATCAGTGAGAGAGGATCTATATCTGGATTTGGTTAACTTCATTTGTTTACATATGTATTTTGTAATTCCCCTTACGGGGGCCGGTCAGAGTCAACCAAAGGGCCGTATGTGGCCCTGGGGCTGTACAATGCCCAGGTCTGCTCTGGATGGATTGTGTTCACACCACCTTTGTGATCAGATAAAAAGGGGTCCAGACCACCTCCCAAAGTTAGGGTTAGGGTATTTTTCTGAAGCCTGTCACATCTGCGGTTACCGTTGTCCCAATGCAATCAGATCACTGCAGATGGATCTCAGGTGTGAACAGGACCAAAATGTACCTGATGATGTCACCACATCTGTGTTTGTATGCCCATCCGTTTTAAAACATTTGATTGACTTTCATTCATTTCAGTTTGATATTTGGATTAATTAAATTCATTCAAGTAAACAATACAGATCTGTTATATAAAAAAGTTCAACTTAGAACTTAAAAAAAGACAAACACGTTTTTCTTACTTTGTGTTGTTGATAAAACACCCCAGTAAAATGTATCTTAGAGAAAGAGACGTGAGGATATGAAGAGAGCAAAATGTCACCTGTTTTACTTCTGTTTAGTTCTGGACCAACAGTTTGGTGCTGCGTTTGGCTCAACCAATGCTTGAACTTGACGAAAACCACATCTATAGATCTGTTGTCTGAACTATTACTAGTACTGTTAACTATTACTAATATTACTGGCTGAGTTAGAGAAAATATGCAGATGAAGTTTTGATGTATTGTTCTATCCATTCTGCAGGATGACATAATTAAACTTATAACAGACCTGGACAGATTTTAGTTGTTAAACATGTGTAAGAAACTTCTGCATAATATATCCACTTTATGTGGTCAATTACAACAGTCTATAATCAATAAATGAATTTCCATTAAACAATCTGCTGGATTAGCTAAATGTCTGACTAACTGCACTGCTAGAACTGTGAAAATACAGCTGCTCAGTCAGAATATAAATGTACTGATGCATGTTTGGATAAAATAAAATTATAATCAGTATTCTGTAAACAGTAATAAATATCTCACGTGTGACTTTGATTACATATTAGATTATTAAAATTATTTGATTTTTCCATACTGATATAAAACAGTGTAAAAAGCCAAAAGGTTGTAAACAGCTGGGTAAAGATACAGCATTTGCTGTTTTCAAATGTTACAAATGTTTCTCTCAGAAAAACAACAACGTAGTGTTTTACAATTGTGCCTAAACTAGTAAAAGATCATTTTTCTGAGATGAGGCCTCCAGGAGTAGTTTCACAGTCCAACCGCTAGAGGGCAGAACATCGCAGAACCAAGACGAAACTGATACAACATATTTTTTGTGTACTGTACATATTTACAGAACACACGTTATTTGTAAAATTACATATACCAATGCTGACAATATCTGTGCATATATGTGTATAATCCATTACTATGGAGAAGGAAATTAATATTTTTATTTCTTCTTACGCGTTTTGATGACGTCAGATTCAGTTCCGCTCGCTGTAGCAAACATGGCGGATGGCTAACAATTTTAATGTTTGCATTCAGGATAGGGTTTTCCGATTCTGGACAGGAAAAATACATGTTTATTTTTCTATGTGCACCCATAGAACAATAGAATTGGATAAATTTTGTTTCCATTGACAGTTTTTTAAAAATAAGGTAAGAATCTTCATTACTGCATTTTTGACGCTAACGCGGTACTAGCTACAAGTGTATGCCTGCATTGGATAGCTCGCCAACAATTTACAACTCCGAAACTTTAAGGTCGATGTTTTGTGTAGGATATTATATTGTTATAATAAATATCAAACTCAGGGCCCAACTGCACTGAGTCGTGTTAGACTGATTTATTCTGGTTAGAGTTGCGTTGTGATGTTAGCTCAGTGGCTAACTGTTGTTAGCATTCGTTAAAACGTGCGTTCTGCACCATATCATTTCTCTTTTGCTTTATTTTAAAATAAAACAATTGTTTTATAACACAATTCTACACGGAACGCCAAAAACTTGATATTTTTGGGAAACTATTGGCTAAAATAGTTTTTGTGAATTAAATTTTAGTCTTGAGAACCCGATTTGATAACACTTGAAGTGTTTAACCTCGTGCCATTTTATCAGTCATGACTGAGATTTTTGATACTTCACAGGGGTGAAGGACACAAACCGCAAGAATGGGGCGACGCTCAACCTCCTCCACCAAGAGTGGAAAATTCATGAACCCCACTGACCAGGCCAGTAAGTATCAGCCTTTCAGAAGTGGAGCTTCTTTTTTGGCTCTTACTTGTTTGATCACTTCTGAAGAATCATCCCTTCATTGTTTGTCAAATATAAAATCCATAACAGTGTTTTTGTTTATTGCCCATCTACCTCACAGGAAAGGAGGCCAGGAAAAGGGAGCTAAAAAAGGTACTTTTGGTCTAAAATCACAATATGTTAATGTCCTGATGCATGCTCAATAACAACCAACAATTAACAAATATGTTAATAAATATAGAAGTATTCATATTGTGTTTCTGACATTTTGCTTCATGTGTTGTCACCTTTGCTAGAACAAGAAGCAGAGGATGATGGTGAGAGCAGCTGTGCTGAAGATGAAGGATCCCAGACAAATCATCAGAGACATGGAGAAGCTGGATGAGATGGGTGAGGGCGTGGAAGTTATGCTTTTCATTTTTTTAATTGTTTCAGGTCTTTTCAACCCTCCTAATAAGTGTCTTTAATTTTTAATACAAATTTAGTTGTTTTTCAAAATAAAACCATGCACTACCTTTTCAACAGAGTTCAACCCAGTTCAGCAGCCTTTGCTGAATGAGAAGGTATTGAGGGATAAGAGGAAGAAATTACGAGAGACGTTTGAACGCATTATCCGGCTGTACGAGAGGGAGAATCCTGATACATACAAGGATCTGCGCAAACTGGAGCTCGAATACGAGACCAAACGAGGACAGCTGGCGCTTTATTTTGACTCCGTGAAGGTAAAGTTTTTGTCTAGTGACTGGATACACAAGCAAGTTTGTATTCAACATATTCCAAGTTGTATTGACTTGTTACTATTAGAATAAATGATGAGTATTTTTTAATCATTTTGTTAGTGATTAGAAACAGTTTTATAAAATTTGGGAAGTCCGCTTTTTTTAAAAGAACTTTGTTGTAGCTATGACTAGATTTATTATTTATTAAATTTTTAAGCTACATAATTTAGTTCTTGTGTCTTTTCCTGCTCACTTTTAATATTTGGTAAATGCTCTTTTTCAGAATGCAGAGTCAGTGGAGGTTGATAGCATCCCGTTACCCGACATGCCTCACGCCCCATCCAACATTCACATCCAAGATATTCCGTTACCAGGAGCTCAGCCTCCGTCTATACTGAAGAAGACCTCTTTGTTTGGGTAGATTTAGTTTGTTCAAGAATTCTGCACATCAAATTTATTAAACAAGACTGCAGTCTGTTACTTTTCTACAGAAGTAATATTATTTTTGTTTATATTTTAGCAAAGGAGCTCTGTCATCATCTTCTGGAGTGGGGTTTGGAAAAGTACTATGCATGCCACGTTTACCTCCAGGGAAAAAGCCTCCAGGACCCCCACCAGGACCCCCACCTCCACAAGTCCTGGCGCTGTATGGCATTCCTTCTCGACAGTCTTATGGCTCTGAAGCAGGTAACTGCAGACTGATAATTTAATATCATAAACAAACATCTCATTATTTCACCTTCTTACATTTCTACTTATTGCCTTCTGATTTTATTTTCTGAACAGAGCCTTCCATTCCTGGACTGGACAGGGAGCATACCATAGATTTGGGAAGAGAGGACAGCAGCAGTGAAAGCGACAGGGATCGGGATGACATGGACGACAACAGCGACTCTGAAGACGACAGCGAAGAAGAAAGAGACGAAGGAGCAGATGGTGACCAGAGAGGACGTGCGGACCGGCCGGGCGATGACAGAGATGAGGACAGGGACAGAAGTGAAAGACATGCTGGTCAGTGCTGCTTCGTGTTTGTGCCCAGCCTTTTAACTTTAAATGTCAATTCCAGACCTTTTCCCTAAATACTGCTCATAAATTTGTCCCCTGTACTTATATCGGTTCACAAAATGTGTAAATCAGTTTTTGTGTTTGTTTTGCAATTATGTTTTAAATGATTTTATCTTCATAAAATCCCACCTCCACAAAGCACTGATTTCGAATCATGCACACCTACAGCTGATGTACCTAGGTCCCAGGCAACCGATCAGACTTACTTTGTGTTCTTTTGTCTGTTTTTGTGTTTCTTCTTCTGTATTCTCATGTTTTTAAACTATTTTGGCTTATTATGGTGTAATATAGCTGCAGCAAAACGTCTGAGCCATACATGAGAACATGAGTCACTTGGCTTCTGCTTTATATGCATTACTGCTGAGCATTGTCAGATGGAGACATTTCTCTTTCTGCTGCTGCAGTTAGAAATGTGTTGTACCTGTTAAGCATTGTACGGGTCACAGAGAGACTAAAAAATAAAAGTACTTAAGGTTGCAAGGATACGTGCAGCGGATACAGGGTTGTATGCATGCCGGTACCCTGCTGGCAGGAAACACTTGTGTTGTGCAAATTACAGATGCAAAGGATGAGGTGAGGTTACATCTTGGCAAAATAAATCTTAATCAGCCTCCCACAAAAACAATAATCAAATGTAGAACTGGAGACATGAATATAAATGAATTTGTTCCAATTTAGGTTCTGAAAACAAACATCATCCTGGTCATCATTTAGTTCATCTCCATCAGCGTCCATCTTGTTTTTAAGACGGTCAGAGTCAAACTGACTCAAACAAAGTCAAACTCCACGTGAATCAATCTGTGGCTTTGTTTGATCTGCATCATATTTAGTTGCATCCTTCAGGGAAGAAGTCTGAGACTCGATGAAATAGATGAAGAATCTAAATTGGACTGTTGATTTGCCCACATTGTGTTTCCTACTGACAGCTGATCAGGGAGACGTAGTGTCATCAGTTACATGAATACACCTAATGCTTATTATTCACTTTTAAAATGTTGTATTTTTGTAAAATCCTGAAGTGACAATAATTCAATTCAGTTTATTTATATAGCGCCAAGTCACAACAGAAGTCATCTCACGGCACTGAATAGGAACATTCATATACATTATAAAAGACAATTAGTAAAAGTTTTCTATCTAAGGAAGCAGCAGATTGAGTTGAATCTTCACTTAGTCACGGTCTCCCATCCTGAGCAAGCACAAAGGCGACAGTAGAAAGGAATAACTCCCTTTTGACAGGAAGAACCCTCCAGCAGAACCAGGATCAGGATGAGCGTCCATCTGCTCCAGCTGGCTGGGTTTGAGAGGACAGGAAGGAGAAATAGACAAACACAGAATGACATTTCATTACTCAGCAGTGGTTTTTATCATTGTGCAGTTGTTGGTGAAAAGAAACGGACCTCTGGACGGTACCTTTAAGTTGCTACTGGTTTTTGCTTCAAGATAAATAGTATTTTAGGACAAAACTATTGTGTTATATTATCTATTCAGCAGCATGAAGAAGCTCGTAAAACGCAGTAACATCAGTTTTTTTTCTCTACTATATTAAATGTATTGATTTGTGTGTGTTGTAGGTCGCAGTGTACGTTTTGCAGATATGCCATCGGATGATTCTCATGACGCAAAAAAGAAGAAAACCAGAGTGGTGAAGAAGGCCAAGGCCATTACTCCCCTGCAGGCTATGATGTTACGGATGGCAGGTGCGTCATGTGACTGCAGTTACTACAGCTGTTACTCCTGATGGGCCTTTCATTTATTTATTTATTCTTCTCTTCAGGTCAGTCAATTCCTGATGATGAGGAAGACGAAGAAGAGGGAGAGGAAGCGTTCACAGATGAATCGGACGTTTCTGACACCGAGGACAGGGGCCCGCCAGGGGACACTCAGACCCAAGTAATGGCCCCTCCGCACATGCCCCCTCCTGCTGCGGCTGTGGGACAGCAAGGACCTCCACCTTTGCAAGGGCCACCAATGACTGGGCCCCCTCCTCTGGGGCCACCGCCAGCTCCTCCCATGAGACCTCCTGGTCCTCCCTCTGGCCCTCCTCCTGGCCCCCCACCAGGTTAGTTTTATTTATTAGAAGAAATGTAAGTCTTCCTGTCAGGAACAGGTTATTGGTCAGGCCTGAAGCTGTCCATCGTGTGTTTAGGTGCTCCTCCATTTTTGAGGCCGCCTGGTATGCCCGGAGGAATTAGAGGCCCAATGCCACGTCTTCTGCCCCCTGGTCCTCCACCAGGTCGTCCTCCTGGTCCTCCACCGGGCCCACCTCCTGGTCTTCCACCAGGCCCTCCACCACGTGGGCCCCCTCCCAGACTACCACCTCCAGCACCACCAGGTGGGTAAATTGTTAGAGTATATCATGATGCTTTTGAGGAGCCAGCGTACATTTTCTAAATGTTCATCACTTTGTGGCTCCATTCAGGTATGCCACCTCCTCCCCCAAGAGCAGGAGGACCCCCTCGCCCTCTTGGCCCACCACTCTCCATGTTTCCCCCTCCTCTCAACGCCAATGTGCTCAGTGCACCTCCCAACATTGTTCAGAGACAAAAGGGCCCAGGATCCAGCCAGGACGGTTCACAGTCCAACATGCCGCCCCCTGCCATGCCCATGCGACCGGGGGTCATGCAGATGCCCCCTCCACCTGGGACAGCAGCTGCAGGCTCAAATCCCAGTGGCCACCACGTAGCCACCATTGAAAAACGCGCCAACATCACTTCGGTCGCAGCTGCTGGAGGCAGCCTGGCAGCAGGCGCCGGCTCTGCAGGAGCCACCATCTCAGCCAAACCTCAGATCATCAATCCCAAGACGGAGGTGACCCGCTTCGTGCCCACGGCCCTGAGGGTGCGCAGGGACAAGAGTGGAGCCATGCCGGGAGCAGCGCTGGGGCCACTGGACAAAACAGGGGCTGGTGCTGGAGGACGGAGGGGGGGTGAAGGTGTTGGAGGAGCCCAGTGGCAGAAACAACAAGCAGCAGCAGCTTCAATGGGACTGGCCAACCCATCCCAAGTGGGTGCTGTGTCTCAGCCCAGCATGAAGACTAAAGACCAGGTTTATGAAGCCTTTATGAGGGAGATGGAAGGACTGCTCTGAAACTCAGTAAATGTTGTTCCATAGAGATTTTTTTGTTATAAAAGTAGCTGTGTTCAGAGTACTGTGTAAGATTACTGTCTTTGTGGGAAAAAAGAGACTGATATCCTCTTCACGGTAACTGACCATCTGTATTTACATTTATTAGATCTGAACTGGTTGTTTCGTTTTTTTCCCCTCAAAGCAACTGAACACTCAGTACAGTTTTCATTTTCACAGGTATGTTTTTTTAACTCTATATTTTTGTGTGTGCTTTCAGCCAGTTTGGAGTCATTTGGTCATAAAAAGCAGTTTTTGTATAATTAGTTTTTATTTTATCTTTGATCATCAAAATAACAAAAAGTTAAACTGTTTGTCCAACAGTGACAAAATCCATGTCTGAAACTGAACTACAGTTAAATAAATATTTTAAATTGATTATAATGTCTTTTCAATTATGTGGGTCAGCTGACGGCAACACATTAACAACTAGAGAAAGTGCATTTTCTGCAAAAATGCAGTGATGCTGAATGATTTTGCTGAAAGCTCCTAAACAAGCTAAAGCTTCTCTGATGCACTAGTTGTAGCTCAAATGTAAAAAGAAAATGGTGAAATTAGCACAAAAAAGACTGAAGTTATAAAAAAAAAAAAGTAGCTGCCAAATAAAAGGCTCAAAATGGCAAAAAGCTAGAAATGGCAGAAGTGCTAAAATTTGGAGAATAAAAAGCTGAAAGGATTGTAAAAAGTAAATTGTCAGAAAGGGAAAAAGACAAAAAGCTGAAATTAGAAGAAAACGCAGTATAATGGCTAAATATAGCAGAAAATCAGCTGAAACAAGCACTAGAAGCTGAAATTTGCACGAAAGGCCGAAAGAACACGAATAACAAATAAGCAGAAAGATCCTTCAAAGACTACACAAACCTGAAAAGTAGAAGTTTGAAATTTTGCAGACAAAACAGCTGTAGTCGAGAAAACAGAAAAAACACTGAAATTTGCCAAAAGAAGGGAAAAAGTAGCTTAAAAGGCAGAAAGAAGAACAAAAGCTGAAATTGGTAGAAAGAAGCTAAAAAGAGCCAGAAAAAGTAAAAGAAAAAAGTTGAAATGAGCAGAAATAAGCTAAAAGGAGCTGAAGGAAGCTGAAAGTAGCTGAAAAAGGTTGAACCAGAATCAAATTTAAAATGAGCAGTAAAAGTTTTCAACAACACAAAAGGTTTGAAGAACATCAGAGAGCTCCAGTCATTTTCAACCCGTCGTAAGCTCAGAGGTGACAGGGCTTTCTCTGTTGCAGGTCCACGACTGTGGAATGAGTTGCCACTGAGTGTCCGGCAGGCTCTCACACTCTCAGTCTTTAAGTCTCGCTTGAAGACCCACTTCTATTCTCTTGCCTTTAACACGGTGTGATTTGTTTTGGTCCTGTCTGTTCTCTACACTGTTGGCCATTTTAGTTAGCTTCTGCTGCTATTTGTATCTGTATTTTTATTTTATGTTTTCCTGACACTGTGCATGTTTGTTTTCTTTTGTACAGCACTTTGGTTGGCCTTTTTGCTGTTTTAAGTGCTCTATAAATAAATTGGTATGGTACGGTATGGTATTTTCAGTGAGATGGATGAAAAAGCTAAATGCGTATTTCAAAAAGTAAAAACTGCACAAATTCTACCACGTCATAGCAGGAATGACATGAAGGAGCTGAACTTTTTGATACAAGAGTTGTTGAAATGGCACAAACATTGTCTCCAGCTACAAGTGTACACCTGAATGACAACCTCAGCTGGAGCAACATCACCACCAGCCTGATCAAGAAAGCTCATCAGAGACTCTACTTCCTCAGGCGGCTGAGACGAGCTGGTCTGGGAAGCTCAGTCCTCACCTCCTTCTACAGGTGTGCAGTGGAGAGCATCCTGTGCTCCAGCATCAACGTGTGGCATGGAGGCTGCACAGCTGCAGAAAGAAAAGCTTTGCAGAGAGTGGTGAAGGCTGCACAGAAGATGTTGGAGTCAGTCTCTCCACCATCACAGACATCTACACAAGGGCGTCAGAAGCATCTGTAATGTGGGGGGACACAATGATGTGTGTAGGTGTGTGTGCGCGCGCGCGCGCGTAAATAAAGGTGTTCACTAGTGAACAAAAAAGCAGCATTTCACCTAGATTTCCTTTAATTCCACACATATAAAACATGTTTCTCACCAAGTTTGTTTAAATTCATCTGTGGATTTTAAAGACATTTTAATTTTAATACACTTTAATACAGAGCGTCAGATTGGCACTATTTGTCTTTATAGGGAAATAAAAAACATCACCACTGGACTTTTTACTTGTGTTCAACACTACTCATCTAAATTATGTTTCTCATGAAACTTGAGGACAATAAGGTGTGGGGTTTTAAAGGCATTTCAACTTTAATGCACCTGAACACACCACGTCTCTTACACCTGCAGCATCTTACAGCGTCACAGTTACTGCTAACATGCTACAGACGTAGCTCCTCTCAAGCATCTTCCTAACATGAATATATGTTTATGATCAACCCCCGGTCAACCACTGCCAGCACTAGCCTGCTAAACTGGCGAGCGAGTAACACAGGTACCTCCACCTCCTCCACCTGTGCGCGTTTTCTGCAGAGGCAAGAGGCAGGTGGAGACGGTGGAGAGTTGGAGGTAACCAGGAAAACCTGGAGTGGAGTTTTAGTAGCTTGAGTATTCTCCTATTAATCAAGTGGAATGGATTTGTTCACGAAGAAAGAGAAACTGCGCCGCCTGAATTATTGTTTTATAGTAAAAGTGTGTGTGTGTGTGTGTGTGTGGGGGGGGGGGGTCCAAACGAACGTTTTTTAATGTGGGGGGGACTTGTCCCCTTCACATATAATGGTTGCGACACCTATGCATCTACACCTCCAGATGCAGGAAGAGGGCCACCTGCATCATGAAGGACCCCACTCACCCAGCACACACACTTTTTGCCTCGCTCCCCTCAGGAAGGAGGTTGAGGAGCATTAAGTGTAGAACCACTAGACTGAGGAACAGCTTCTACCCTGAGGCTGTTAGACTCATGAATCTCTAACCAGGAAAATCACTGTGAAGAATCACATCATGTTGCTGCTGATCTGTTTCATATTGCTGCTGATCTGTTTCATGTTGCTGCTGATCTGTTTCATGTTGCTGCTGATCTGTTTCATGTTGCTGTGTTCATTCGTGCTCATCTGCTCACACAGACTCATGTTCGTTTACTGTTTTTCTTATACATTTTATTGTTGGATGTAACTGGGACCCTGTGTACATAATTTCGCTCCACCACATGTACCACATGAGGTGCGAATGACAATAAAGAAACTCTGACTCTGACTCTCTGACTATTTGGCACATTGTTTTTATGCTATTAGTGCTTAGTGCTATATTTAGTTGATGTTTTTCTTACATCTTATTACTGTTTTTCTTTTACATTTTATTGTTGGATGGAGCCTGTGTACATAATTTCGCTCTGCGAACAACGATAAAGAATATCTGAATCTGAATTGTGGAATGAGTTAAATTCAGATAAACATACGGAGGAAAAATAGATCTCAAGAATAAGCAATAATTTATCTGAATTATTTATTTATGTCTTAGTTTTGTGCTAGGTTTTTGAATTGGGTCTTCTTTGAACGACAATTCCCATATTCATTGCGTTTTAAAACTCCTTTCCGCGCATGCGCACTTCTGAGCTGACAGTACAGCACGTTGGGCTAAAAGAAGCATGGCGGACGAGAGCCGGGTGAACGTGGAGGAAAACACCGCTGAAAGTGTCGAAGGTTTAAGTAGCGACGAAGAAGAACTGGTTAATGACGAAGAAAGTGAGGAGACGGTGAAGACCTTCAAAGACCTGGTAGGTTTGTCTCTGAAAATTATTTTTATTAACTCTGAGCAACAACGCTCTGTTTTTAGTTAGCCGAACCAAGCTAATCTATCTGTAAACACATTTTCACAAGTGAAGCATTTCGGCTGTTGTGCGTATCGAGCAGCGAATTGTCGCATCAATCATTTTTCTCCAAGTTAATAGTGAACTCGGTGTTTCAGGGTGTTACCGAGGTTCTGTGTGAGGCTTGTGATCAGCTGGGATGGAAAAGTCCAACAAAGATCCAGGTGGAGGCTATTCCAGTGGCTCTGCAAGGTAAACCTTACAGTTACACCTTTTCATTTATGCAGCCTACATGTAGCTGCCTCAAAGATCTACCCAACCAAAAATAGAAATATCATCCACCTTTTCGCTGGGGGGCTCTACTGTATATAAATGATAATGGGTACAACTTCCTGTCAGACACCGGAAGTAGCAGTAAGCACCAGTCATTCAGTCAACCTTTATTTATACAGGTTAGTCTCATTAAGTCACGAAGACTCATTTTCAAGAGAGACCTGTTTTAAACAAAACAAATCTGCAGCTACTTCTTCAGCTCGTCCTCAGTAAGCAGCGGTATGATTAGATTGTCCTGTTGGAGCGCTGACAGCTGGTGTTCCTACACGTTTCAATTAAATCCACAATGCTCGGAGAAACTACACTGGCTAGTACCGTTAGCACATAAACAAATGCCAGTTCTGGTCTGCGCCGGAAGTTGCGCCCATAATTCATGCAAGCATGGGGGGGCTAGGAATAAGGTGGATAACAGCACTGTTAGCTAGGGTTCAGCATTATTGTGCGTTTGATTTATATTGCATAATAGTGTCATAGGGAGTGGTGGCGCAGACGTTGGAGAAGGTGGGCCTGTGATTAGAAGATCGCCTGTTCAACTCCCATTACCGACAACATCAAAATATGGGTGGGATAGGTGAAGCAGCAACACCTGCCTCCACCCTCATTTACCCCACTCTGGGCCCTTCACCCGCACCATCTGCTCCCCCAGGTGCCCTAGATAGCAGCTCTCTGCTCCACACAGAGGGCTGTGGTAGCTCGGTGGTCTGTGGTTGTGTCAGGAAGGACATCCGGCGTAAAAATAATTGCCAAATCTTTGTGTGACTTAATTCGCTGTGGTGACCCCTGATGAAGGGGGCAGCCGGAAGAAGAAGAAAAAAGTGTCAAAATATTGATGTCATTAAAGCCATTCAGTTATTTTTATTAGGTTTATTTATTAGGGTTTGTCGTTGGCAAAATATATCGTGTTCCACTGGGTGGGTTTTAATGAACCTGTCTGAAAGTAATCATTGGATTGAAATCTACAGCTTTTAGAGTCAGCCTGATTTCAAATGGCTGCCAGTGCCACAGTCAACTGAGCCTAAAATTAATTTTAAAGATACTGAGGAAAAGACTGATGTGGTAATAGCTGAGAGTTAGTCACAGCGCATGCTCCAGAAACAGATCTCACATTATCGCATGAGACTGGGAACATTATCTTCAAAGTTTGACTAAAACATTTACATCTCCATCTTTTGTCAACACAAGATAATCTTAGTCTTAATCTTAGTCTAAAACGTGGTGGGCTATCTGCATTTCTTCAAGGCCTTTGATTGGTTCATCAGTATTTTAAGTACCGGTACTTAAAAGTTTTTATCAGTCTGTAATACACTGACTCCGCATTGTGAAAATATTATACCTGTCAATGTGTGGTGAAGCTGAGTGTTTACACATTTAAAATCTTTGAGGAACATCTCATATTTGAAGATGTTGTTCCAAACCACTACACTTAAATGCTTTGTCCCTTTTTGTGATTGAATCTTCCTGGAACTGCAGGGAGGGATGTTATCGGCCTGGCAGAGACGGGTTCGGGGAAGACCGGTGCTTTTGCTCTGCCTGTCCTCCAGTCGCTGCTGGCTTCACCTCAGAGGCTCCACACGCTCATCCTGACGCCCACCAGAGAGCTGGCCTTTCAGATCTCGGAGCAGTTCGAGGCTCTGGGCTCCAGCATCGGGATTAAATGTGGTACGTGTTGATCAGAGGTTAGCCGTTTTGTTTTAACTGGTAACAACTTTGTTTTTCTGCGTTTTTAAGTCGTCTCATCTCTGTTGCAGCTGTCGTAGTTGGTGGGATTGACATGATGGCCCAGTCCTTAGTGTTGGCCAAAAAACCTCATGTTGTTATTGGTAAGAAGAGAAAGGTTCTACTTTTAAAACAGATGTCATAAACAAGTGTTTATAGTTTTTATTTGTGTTAAAAATACGTCATCATTATAGTCTTACTGTCTATCAATGTATTTTAATTCTATATTTTGTCTGTACAAACTGACTCAAGCAAGGGAAGATGTGTTAATATTAAATTATATTATTATTAATTTATTTTATATATGAAAAGGCTTCCTTACATAAATTTTGAAATAATACAGGAAAAGAAAACACAAAAAAGTATGTGTGAGAGTTTTAGAAATATAAAATGACTCAACAAGGCTACACAGTTCAAACAACCTTCAGGTACCTAAATTATTTATTTCTCTTGTACTTTAAACTGTTTTTGTACTAAAGTTGATGAAATGTGTTTCCAGCCACTCCCGGCCGGTTGATAGACCACCTGGAGAACACAAAGGGCTTCTCGCTCCGAGCTCTGAAGTTCCTGATCATGGATGAAGCGGACCGGATCCTCAACATGGACTTTGAGACTGAGGTGGGCAGACAGGAGCTGTTTATTTGGTTCATTATGTGAGACAGGAAACCCTGGATACAAACAGGCATCGTTGTTTCATCCTGGCTGCAGCACAGCCGGACTCTTGTAGAGGTGTCCAAACTTTAATTTGGAGGTACACTCATTGAGATGCAGTATTTGAAGATATTATAAATGTGAAATAATATAAATCTAACCTGGAATGTACAAAAACACACAACAATATCCACTGTCATTAATTAAAAAGAAAAATGGAATATTTGTGTGAAAAACCACGTCCAGCCTTGCTGCTTCCACAGGATTCAGGTTTAAAGTATCAAGCATGTGCTGCTGATCAAATGTATTGATTACCTGATCGTCGTCAGTCTGATCACCTTTATGTCTGTTTTCTTCTCTGGAGCAAAACATGGATAATGCCAGCATGTAAACAGGTGTCACTTGTAAACGAGTCCTTGAGGCTCAATGAGACTAACCTGTATAAATAAACATTGAATGGAGAAAAAAAAAAAAAAAACGATGCCAAGAAGGAAAGACAACAGCAATAATCTTAAGAGAGGCAGCTGTTTCTGTGTAGGGTTAAAGATAATTTCCAAACAATTTGGAGTCCAATCTAGTGTGAAAGATTATTCACAAGTGGACCACATTTAGGACAGCTGCCAGTCTTCCGAGGAGTGGACATTACAGCAAATTCACCCCAAGGTCAGACTGTGCAATGCTCAGAGAAATACAAGAGCTCTAAAATACAAGAGCTCTATTTCAGACTATTCAGGCCTCAACAGGTTAAAGATTAGAGTTCATCGATGGACGGTAAGAAAAAGTCTGAGAATATGTGATTTGTTTAAAATGGCTGTAAAAGAAAAACCTGTTCTCTCTAAAAACAACTGGCAACACCTGAGTGACCCACAAGACTTCAGGAACAAAATCCTTTCAACAGATGAGGCCAAAGTAAAGACATTTACCCACAATGCACAGCATTGTTTGGAGAACATCAAACGTATCGGCATGAATATCAACTGTCAAGCACAGCAGTGGAGGGCTGATGATTGGGGTTTGTTTTGCAGGTACAGGTCCTCAGCACCTTGCAGGCATGAACTCCTCTGTAGACCCATTATGGAGTGAAATATGAGGCCATCTGTCTGACAGCTGAAAATGAGATCAAACACGCTCATGATAATGGATCAATGATCCCAAACAGAACAGCTTTAAAAGAAGAAAAAAATGTCCTGACCTCAGCCTGATTTAAGATACTGCAGGCCTCAGTAACTCAGTGCTGAAACAAATGTCTGCAAATCTCAAAGAACTGAAGAAATGTAAAGAAGAGTGGGACAAAAATCCTCTACAGCCAAGTTCGAGAATGATAGTGACACAAAAAAGGACTATTGAGTCATTGTTGCTTCAATCTGCTGAATTATGGTTGAACTTAGATTTTTATTTTTTTACTCGTGTTTACTAAATAACACAATAGAATCTGTTGTGATAATTGTTTACACTTGAAGAATGTGGCTTTTTTATTTTGTTCTGATACATAAAACCCTACAATTAAGTGGGGTGGACTTTATTCATCCCATGATGGTATATTTATCTTACCGTATTCATGGGTTCAAGTATCTGTATTATCCCCGAGGGGCATTTACTTTCACAGTCAGTAGATATAAAACATCCGTACTACACAAGACATTAAGACATTAAAACAACAATACAGAAATCATCACTGTTCGTTGAGAAGCCTGATGTGACGCTGTGGGAACTGGCTGTGACAATCAGTTGTATATAAAATAAATAAAAGGGGTGAAAGAACACAGCCCTGAGGGGAACCTGACAGAAGGACATCAGAGAGAACCCCGATGACCCTCACTTCTGAGACCGAACAGTTAAACAGTCCACAAGCCAACAGATGAGGCCAGAGTCCAGACTGTACAGACATTGCAATTTCTCTGCTAAAATGTGGGGCTGAGTACAGTTAAAAGCAGATGAAAAGTCAAGGTTTTTGTACCTTCAAGGTGTTCTAAAATCATATTTAAAAGAGTTCCTGTAGCGTCTCTTCTATGTGAATGATAAGCAAATTGAAGTGGGTCCAACTGATCTTCAACTTTTGACAAAAGGGTCTCCCGGACCAGTTTTTTGAAGGACTTCATGACTAATGAAGTCAGTGCAACAGGCCTGAAGTCATTCAAGGACTGAGCTGTCTTGGTTTTTGGGAATGGAACATTGACAGAGTCTTTCCAGAGCTGGGGGGACCCTAAAGGTTTGGAGAGACATGTTAAAAAGAAAACAGAAAATATCTGCAAGCTGCATGGCACAGTTCTTAAGAGTCCGACTCCGTAGGCCATCAGGACCTGGAGTTTTTCTTTCTTTAGTCTTTTGAAAAATGTTAACCAAACTTCCAATGTTCCAATTCACTGTTGCACCTGGCGGCACTTTAACCAGAAAGCTCCTCTGTAAAATCATTAGTGTTAGAACGGTTGTAAATTGAGTTAAAATCATTTGACAGTTCCAAGGCAGATGAGGAGTGTAGAGTTATGTGAGTTTTCTTATTTGGCATTCCCATCATAGAATTACCCCCCTCCCACGCCAGCCGGGAGTTCTTGGACCTGAACATGTTCTGCACCCTCTCCTTATAGTTTACTCTAGCTACTTTTAATTCTTTCCTCACTTGTTTTTTGAGTATGTGGTATTGAGCCAAATTTGCCTTTTTGACGCTATTGTGCAAATTTATTTATTTTTACTGATTTGGAGATTCAAGGTTTATTGTTGGCAAAAATTGTGACAGATTTCCTGAGAATGGCTGATCACTCACAAAAGTCAACGTTAGAGGAAATTCTGTCAGTAAGTTCATCCAAACTAGTGCTTGTACTTTTAAACATATCCCAGTCTGTGCAGCTAAAACGGTCTTGAAGATTCTGGATGGACTCTTCCGACCAAACCGGAACCAACCGTTGCTCCGGCTTGTGTTTCCTCAGGACGGGTTTGTAGTGTGGGACCAAATACACAACAGGGTGGTCTGATGAACCAAGCGGGGCTCTGTTTAGAGATTTAAAATCATCTTTCACAGTTCCATAACACAGGTCCAAACATTTTGCAAGTCGAGCAGGGCACGTCACATATTGATAAAAATTACCATGTGACTTTCCCCCATGATAAGGTTTGGAGCATCCGGTGAGATCTTCTGAAACTGCTGCACGGTCTGTAGCAACGCCTGAGTAGCTAGCTCCGCATTAGCGTTGGTGTAACCGCTCCCAAAGTCTTTTCATCTGGTACAGAATAAGGCCACACTCCAGCTGATGTTTACCCAACTTTTAATTATTTCTTTGCCACACAGAACATCTTCTTTTGCCAGCAGACACGTGAACAACTGTTAAATACACAATATAAACATAAGTGTTAACAAAATTGCATTTGCAACCAAAATTAAACATATAAACAAAAACAAAATATGTAAACATACCGTGTGCGCCGTCTGACCAAACATTTAGGAGGTGTTAATGTCCATATTGTCTGCAATCTCACATCTAGGTGCAGTACTCAACTCCACCAACAGATGTCACTAACATGAGAATTTAAATGATTTTATCTGCGACAGCTACACGTTTTGTATTCACCATGTATCAAACAAAATGCAGTCTTTTAATTTTCCATAAGTTAACAATCAACCTTCAAATTAAGTTACAAAATAAAATTGAATTATATTCTTAAAGCTCACATTTATGTTTGAGCTATCAACATTTTTAACCTTTTACAATAGTTTAGGACTCATTTTCCTGAACTGGTCTCAGGAAAAGATCGTTTTAAACGTTCACCTTTCTTTCCCAAATCTCTTTGTTCTATTTGGATTTTAACCTTTCGCACTAAACCATCATCACCTTGTTTCAGCTACCTTTACCGATTTCCATTCATTTCTAGGAATATTGTCCTTTTCTACATTAATGGGCCCTGACCTGTCTCTGTTTGCAAGTCTTTTAATCTGTGCTACAACATTAAAGGCCATATTCCAACCATAACATCTTGAGACCCTCTCAAGAAAACTTTCTGATTTGAGGCCATTTGTGTTAAGGACCTTTACTTCTGGGTCACCAATGAGAAGCTCTGGGGAGTGTTGATTTGCAACAATTTCTTTTTCCCATAAGAATTTAGGTCCGTTGAACCAGTTAGTCTATCAGTTCTGCCACCTTGAGACCCCTAGACGGGTGATCTTTCAAGATCTCTATAAAACGAATGTCCTCTTGAGATACTGTAAGTTCCCTCCTTTGTGGTTTGTGTCCAGAAGATCAGTTTCCATTGCTCTGATCACAGTAGCATGTGTGATTGATGGCAGCTCCTTTACTTCAATATGATTGCAGGTTCCTGTTACATCCTTTGAACTTGTCCAGGGCTTAATGAGTCCCATGATACTCCAGCCCATGTCTGCTTTGACTGCAAAAGGATCATAATCATTTCCTGGTATGACTTCCCTTGGTTTTATAGCTCTTGCACAATCATAACCAATGAGGAGAGCATCAGGACAGTCCAAGAGATCTGGTGTCTCATTTGCAGTACTAAGTTGGTGGGGCCACTTTTTCGCTGTTTCTCGAGTTGGAATACTGTTTTTCTCCAGAGGAATGTTCTTGGGTGTACGTAGTAGAGTTGCATTCGGACCAAAAAAATCCGACCTGGCCCCAGCTCGTAGCCATAATTTCCGAACCTGACCCGACAAATTAACAGTAATTACAAGTCTGAACCCAACCCCCTCTCCCCACACACACCAACATTTTTAATAAAGCTTTGACTGCTTATATAGTTATTAACAGTCGGCGGCTGTGCGCGGCTAAATGAAAGGGGCAGAAGATCGGAGCTGAGGGGGTGTTTGTCCTTTCATGGCTGTCAAAGTGCATTAAATCCCTGCTTCTGCCTGCATTCTGCATTATTCAGACACGAACCCTGCTCTGACATGTCGGATATTTTGGGATCTCACCTGTTTGCGTCATTGGCCGCGCACGTCCGCTGAGTGCAGCGGCTGAACGTCCATTTGGGCATGATGGTCTCTGCCTGACAGTAGTCCCATCTGAAGCTTAACTGAACATTTTTCTACCTCTTTCAAGGCCGGTCAGTGCACGGTCAAATGACCGTGTGCAGCTGGTGATTGTATGGCAAGCCATGTCGCCATATAATGGATTGTCAGCCGGGCGCGTCCGCGGATGCAATCAAAAGCTCAGCCCAGCCCGCACATTAAGCACATTATTATGGCCTGGCCCTAAGCCGGGTCGGGCCAGGCTCCGGGTTCAAGTTAGAAATGACAGTTCTAGTATGTAGGTGGTAACTCAATATACTCTTGAGTGGTACCCTCTTGCTCTTAGTCCATCCACCCGTTGACTAGGCACGATTGAACCTCTGTCAGTCATCGTGGTCAGTTTTAACCTAACTGGTTCTGTGTTTGCTTGCATTTTTCCACAGATGTTTTGGTCAATGAAAGTATTACTCCTCTGGGTGTCTAACGGAGCATAAACCAATGTCTCTGGTCTCTTTGTCGTTACACATGAAAGCCAAACTGGAACGATCATTGAAGTGCGATCAATGTTGCACACCTTCACACTACATGAAACAGTGGCTGCATTTACCTCTTCTGATGGCATTTCAGGCTTGCCTCCCTTTGGATGATCCTTATGGATAGGAGAAGGGTGGTTTCCCTGACAATAAGGAAATCACTCAACTCCCTTAATTTTAGTGACTCTTTTGGTCCAATCTTAGGCCAACTGTTTAGTTTTCCACAAAAGGCTCTTTTGATCTACAAATGGGTGACCATAACGTTTGTTCAGTACATCCCAAGCCTGTTTGAAGGCTTCCTCATCACTTCGATAGAATGTTCCTTCTAACACACAAAGTGCTTCTGCACTAATGTATTTTTTCAAATAGAACAGCTTATGAACTGAATTTGAACAAGTAGTCTCAATTAGAGCCTTAAATCAAGTGCTCCATTCCACAAATTTCAGTGGGTCTCCAGTAAATGTAAACAGCTCTGGACGTAAACAAGTGTGGTTAAAAAGCTGCAGGAATTCCTTTGGCTGATAAAACGGGCGGAGAGACAGACAAAAGTTTGATGTCTGGAGTGCATATTGGCTCCCTGATGACAATGATGTTGCACCACTTTTTATTCACAAAGGCACAGTCCTCCACCGAGGGATTGACTTGTCCCGGTGGGGTGCCTGTCCAAACGAATGGGCTCACCAAAGCCCTCGAACTCCAGGTCCGATTGCAAGTCGTAATCCTTGAGCCAAGTTTCTGTCAGTGCCAAAACACAGGCACTTTTGTACTCCTCCAGAAACTTCACGTTAACCTGAAGCTCATCGATTTTGCTGCAGAGTGACTGCACATTCGCCAGCATAATGGTTGGAAGTGGCATACGAGCGAGACCCCCACCCCCGCTTCAGCTTCTGTCGAACACCACCGCATCTTCCCCGCTTCCTTACACCTGGCTGCTTCTGCTCCCAGCACCGGTCTTCAGCTGAGGTCCCCGTCTGAAGAATGTCCGTTGGGAAAACTGCAGAGGGTTCCACAGCGCCCGCTTCAGAGTCCTGCATCGGGAGCAGAAACTCCCGGCCATACTTCAACCGTGTCTGGTTCACACAGAGTCTGTCAAAAAAAAGATAAAAAAGTGCCAAAAGCACCAAAAAATAAACCACACAATAATATTCCATGGGTATTCCTACCACCGTACGCAGAAAAAAAATATTTAAAAAGTACAGGAACAAAGAGAATGATCACAAAACACACAGCACACGCTTCCCTACTGCTGCGTGTCGCCATTACTAGAACTGTCACGATAACAAATTTTGCTGGGCAATTAATTGTCTCAGAAATTATTGCGACAAACGATAATATTGTTTGAAATTTGACGATAATTAGTAACTGTCAAATTTAAGAAGAAATGTTGATTTCTTTGGCGTTTAGTACCTTTTTTCAACCACCGGATGGCAGTATAAGACTGTTTGAATCGAAGGATGGATAGTGAGGGAGCGAGCAGCATGTATCTTTAAGAAAAATGGGAGGGAGGCCTCTTGACATGACATGGGCTGTGTCTCTTTGGTTTTCAAAATGGCGGCCACTTTTTGTGGTTTGAGCTCTTTAGCATAACATTTTTCACACAAAGCTTTTAATAAAAAAGCAGTAAACAAGTTCTCAGCTTCGTTTTGCAGCGAAAAACTACTTTTTACACGAAGGCACGGGTTTCAGTCGTGAATTTTGGAACTTCGACAAGACAGAGAATTTTTCCTGAGGTCGGCCTGTTAGCTTAGCTCGCAGCTTAGCTTCTCAGCTTAGCTGCTTTTAACGATCCATAAAACGTGATTTTGGACGGTGAAAATGGATTTTAAAGAGAAAATAGGAAGGGAGGGGTCATTGAAGAGCACTGGAGTTGAGCTTTTTGTCAGAGAGAGAGAGACACGGAGAAACGATAAAGCTAATAAATGAAAATGAGGTTGATAATTTTCATTTATCATGCGATTAACTGATTTATTGTTTATTGCGACAGGCCTAGCCATTACTAGCGTCAGTATCGTATTGTGAATTAACGTCTTCTGCCCTTTTTTACAATGAGTTGTATGAATCGATTATCTGTAGATGTTTATAATGGTGACGGCATAAAAATGTTAAAGAAAAACAAAGTTTATGGTCGTCCTAGAGCATAGAAATATCAAAAATGTTCCCACATTATTTTGTTTTTACATTTGGGAAACCAACATAAAATATTTGTGCAATTCCTCTAAAGTTTTCTGTCAGAAGATTCAACAAACTCTGACTGGACGCCACAGAAATGACATTTGGTGCAATGTTGGGTTTTGTATTGATTCAGTCCCCTGATGTCCCCCTGTGTTTTCAAAAAAGACTTCAGAATATTTATTCTTCTCTGAACTCATTTTTCCAGGTGGATAAAATCTTGAAGGTGATTCCAAGAGACAGACGAACCTTCTTGTTTTCTGCCACCATGACCAAAAAAGTAGGTGGATTATTTTCAAGACTTCAGATGTGATGAATGCACTCTGACTTGCAGGTCGTGAAGCATCTGTTAGTGTTTTCCAGCGTTCATGTCCTTTCTTTGGCCTAACAGGTGCAGAAACTAGAGAGAGCAGCTCTGAAAGATCCTGTAAAATGTGCAGTATCTACAAAATACTCCACAGTGGACAAGCTGCAGCAGTACTACATCTTCATACCTTCCAAATACAAGGTAGAACGTTTCTGAGTACATAATCTGAGATTAGGTGATGCCGATTCTCTGCCATTTTGTAGCGTTTGTATTTATTAATCTGGTCGAGTTAAAACTTTTTTTTTTTTTTTTCCTGTGCAGGACTGTTACCTGGTGTCCATCCTGAACGAGCTGGCGGGTAACTCCTTCATCATTTTCTGCAGCACGTGCAACAACGCCCAGCGGGTGGCGCTGATGTTGAGGAACCTCGGCATCACCGCCATCCCTCTTCATGGACAGATGAGTCAGGTACAGGCTGACGCGCTTTGTTTTAAAAGTGTTCGTCCTCCGAGCTCTCAGCTGCATGTTTCTCTCATGGCTTTTGCACAAACAGCTAAAATGTTGCTGACCCCTCTGTAAAAAGCCTGTTTATAAAGCTGTTTTAGCTTAAATGATGCATTCAAGACAGTATTTGGTTCTTAAAAATCCTCTTTAATTCATTTTAATTTGTAGCAAGTGTTTTAGTTATAATAAAAGCAGACAGTAAATGTTCACATCTGCTGGGCAGAATAAACGTCTTGGAGCTCTCAACAAGTTCAAGTCCAAGTCTCGCTCCGTGCTGCTGGCGACAGACGTGGCGTCAAGAGGACTAGACATTCCCCACGTAGACTGCGTCATCAACTACGACATCCCCACTCATTCAAAGGTACCGAGGACGCGGTGTTGATTCAGATCGATCCTTTGTCACTGGTGTGGTTAAAATAAATGTATGCGTCTGTCCTTGTAGGACTACATCCACAGAGTTGGGCGAACAGCCAGAGCAGGCCGCTCGGGGAAATCCATCACCTTCGTCACACAGTAAGACAAATGTTTTCGCTGACTGGATCTGGTTTCCAGTCGTCGTTTGGTTTAGTCTGCATGTCTGCAGTGATACTTCTCATTACCTTCAGGTATGATGTGGAGCTCTTCCAGCGAATCGAAAGCCTGATTGGAAAGAAACTTCCTGCTTTCCCCACTCAGGAGGAGGAGGTGATGATGCTGGTGGAGAGGGTGAGCGAGGCGCAGAGGTTCGCCCGGCTGGTAAGTCTTATTCTCGTTTTTGCTGTTTTTCACATAAAGAACGTGAAAACACCTGGAATTTATTTTTGTCTAACAGACTGGGGAAATTGTGTTTATAGACAAAATAAATCAGAATAGCAGATCTTACCCCTTTTTCTCAACTTTAATAACAATCATCCCTCCAGGTCTGCAGCTCCCAAGCTGTTTACAATGAAAATATATTGTTGAATGTTTAAATTACTGTAGAAAGTGTAAAAGTAACAAAAATTGTTGAAAAAAATGTAATAGTTTATAGATAAACTGGTAAAATAATGAAGTTTTGCTTTATATAAGTTAAAGGTTACAGAATCTTACAAACGAATGTAGAAATAAAATGTTAATTTAAGTAGCCCTTTTTTTTTTTTTTTTGGCTGCTCCCTTCTTCAGGGGTCACCACAGTGAACTAACTCACGAAGACCTGACGATTGTTTTTACACTGGATGTCCTTCCTGACGCAACCACAGACCACCGAGCTCCCACAGCCCTCTGTGTGGAGCAGAGAGCTGCTATCTAGAACAGTTGAAAATTGGATCAAAACAGTTAAAATAGGCTTAAAGTTAAAATCATCTTATCTTTTATTGCTTAAATAAATTGCAATAAATAAATTAAAGGCCTACCATTCCTTAAAGCCAGGGGTCTCCAACCTGTTTGAGACTGACAGCTACTCCAGTGGGGCGGTGTGACATAAAGTGCTACTTCTAATTCTGGATGTCAGCAGCAAACTGGTTGATCCACTATGAGAAGGTGCTATTTATAAGACTGAGTTTGTTGCAGCTCCTCAGACTGAAGAAGTCTTTTGGATAAAAGACGAAACGATTCAACAAAGAATCCGTCCAGAGGACCTGATTTAACCTTGTTAGTTTAATCTACCTGGATTATTGAGCATGCATCAGGACAAAGTCATACATTCTTTTTTGATCTTGAAAGTTTTGTGTGAATAACATTGCAGTAACTAGAGAAATTGCATTTCCTGCAAAAATGCAAAGTCATTGTTTATTGCTGAAGAACTTGCTGAAATTAGCTAAACATGCTGAAATGGAGCTGAAATGAAGGAACAGGCCCAAGTTAGCAGAAGAAAGCAGAAAGAACACATATTTGCTGAATTTGGTTTAAATAAGCAGAAATTAGCTCAAAAATGAGTAAATTAGCTAAAAAGAAAAAAGCTGAAATTAGCAAAAAAATAGCTGAAAAGGAGCTGAAAAGGCAGAATGAACCTTAAAATATCAGAGGGAAATTGAGCACAATTTTGCTCAGTTAGACTGATATAAGCACGAAAAAGTAGAAATTATCTGAAAAAAAAAAGGCAGAAATTTACAAAAAACTGCTGAATGCACAAACCGAACTCTATGGACCAAACTCTGTGGGCCCACTTGGTTCCGCTGGGGAACCTTGGATGTTCTCCGTCTGCCAGACCTGGTTCTGGAGGGCAGTCTGGGAGGCAGCTGCTGCAGTCCATATTATCATCAAGCTGCTGACAGGACCTGCCAACAAGACCATGCCGCTAACCGAACCTCACTGCTAACAGTATCATGCTGCTAACTGGACCATGTTGCTAAGATAACCTCACTGTCATCAGAACCACTCTGCCAGTAGGACCATGCTGCTGTAGATTTATTTATTTTTCACTTTTGGGACCTTGTTACTGTATTTTTGTTGCATGCTTTGATTTAAATCCCAGTTTATGTTAGTTTTGGGCCTCTGAGCCCGACTCCATTAGCATGTGAACTATAGCTGAACAGAACTTATGACAGTCGTGCTGCTGCTGTTCCGTGTATTGTTTTGCAGCAGTGGTGACTAGCATATATCTTAGATCTTTTAGCGTACCGTTGGGCATTCGTTTAGCGTATATCTTAGTTTATGTCTTAGATCCTTATTTACTGTTTCACTTTATATTTTTGCTATTGCTGGATGTAACTGTAATTGCGTAATTGTACACAATTTTGTTCCACCTCATGTACCACATGCGATGCGAATAACAATAAAAAAAATCTTGAATCCTTGAATAGTATCTAAAAAAGCAGAAAGAAGCTTAAATTACCAAAAGAAAACGACGAGAGTACAGTTGTGCCAAATTTGTATAAAAAGAAGCAGAAATGAGCACAAAAAGTGGAAATTATATGAAAAAAGCAGAAATTTGCACCAAAAGAGCTGAATAGTAGCTGAAAAAGCAGAAAGAAGCTTAAATTACTAGATTGAAATGGAGAGAGCAATTTTTTGCTGAATTAATTAGGAAGATAAACGTTTAAATGAGTGCAAAAAATCTGGAATCAGCTGAAAATCTCAACTTTGCATAAAACAGCTAAATAGTAGCTGAAAAAGCAAAAATAATTGAAAATTGCAGAAATAAGCTGAAAGGAGCAGAGAGATGTTAGAAGAAGCACAAAAAATGTTATAGTTAGCAGAAAAGAGCACAAAACAGCTGAAAGTAGCTAAAAATGTTTACATTTGCACAAGGAAGCTGAAAGAAGCTGAACCAGAACAAAATGTGAAAGGAGCAGTCAAAGGTTGTGAACAGATGTAAAAATCTGAAGGATGTAAAATGAACTCAATTAATTTTCTATGAGAAAAAAAAAAGTGGCAGAAAAGGCTAATTATTTCAAAAAGCTAAAGTTGCACCAATACCAAAAGTCATAGCAGGATGTCCTGAACGAGCTGAACGTTTTGATTTATGATTTGTAGAAATAACTTGAAAACTGTGGGATGAGATCGATGCTAAAAAACGTACGGAAGAAAATTGGATCACAATAGTCAGAATGTTTCATAAACGTTCACGCAGCTAACGTTTTTAATCCAAGGTGTGAAAATGACTTGTTTTTCAGGAAATGAAGGAACAAGGAGACAAAAGGAAGAGGCCCAAAGGTGGAGACGTAGAGGACGATGACACAGAACAAGCGAGCGGCGTGAGGAAGATGGTGAAAGGAGGACCAGGGGGAGGAGGACGAGGAGGACCAGGGGGAGGAGGACGAGGAGGACCAGGGGGAGGAGGACGAGGAGGCGGGAAGAAGAAGGGTGTAGGAGCCTGGAGAGGAGGGCGCTGACGCATCCGCCTGTAATAAAATGTACATAACCACGAGACACAATGCCTCGTCTTGTTTTTGATGTAAAACTTCAACATGTTTTCCACCGCTCGGTAATTTAATGACAAAACAAGTGCTTTCTTTACCCACGTATGACTTTGTTTCCATTTGTAATAAAACTTCACTGTAAACCCTAAAGCTTGCCGATTCTTATTATGAGGAAAAATGTTAGTTTATAACAGGGCTATAATTAAATATATGACCCTCTGAGAGAGGAAACAAATGACACCACTCATGATTTAAGAAGTACTGTACTGTTGATGGTACATGGCTTGATTCACACGTTTTACTGTTTGCCCATTGTTTTTGTTTTCATCGCATCTTTTGATCCACGACTCCTGTTGTAGATTTTTTTTTTTTTTTAAACTACAAAAATACATTAACGTTGTGGCTTTATTAGAAATGTTTTTGCAATAAATTTTGTTTGTGTTTCAAAATGTCTCATGAACCACTGGGTGGATTTTAATGAAACTTTCAGGCAACAATCGCTAGACGTACATTTACAACTTTTGACACAGCCTTAGAAAACAAAAAACACAAAAATTCAGCCAGTTTTACTGATATTGAACTGATGAGGTAGTAGCTGAAAGTGAAACATTTTGCAATATAAGATTGTGCAAACTAAGTCATTTTTCAAAAATATAAACCTGCTTAATGTTGACGTCTGCCTATCTTATGACAGAGATGCGAGTGTGGTTACCATGGTGACAGTAATGAGCCACCAGCATCCACTGCAACATTTCTTTTTTGTCTTGGCTTTCATTTACTTTACTTATAAACGTTAAAACTTAACTTTTCCATTTTGTGAGGACATTTTATTTTAAGACTTAAGACATGAGGGGATATAATCAGCATCAGTGTCAGTTATGTGGAATACGTTTTTAAATATAGCAAAGCAATAGTTGTATTTAGTTGTTTTTTTATTTAAATGAATGTTATTAGTTTGTAACAAATTGAGGGGTTGTTGTTTTTTACAGCCAGTGATGGATGAGGGAGAGAACAGACCACAGTCTGGCAGGCTGCGCAGTGGGCATGCGCAGTGCAGATATTTTGGTGATAGATTCAAGTGAGGCGTCCATCGCAGCACTTGTCCTAACTATATAATATTCCTATGTTAATGAGTCACTAAAGAGTTTGTCGTGCTTCTGCGTAGGTCGGTGTCCAGTTCGTGTCGTAGAGGGTGCTAACAGTGAGAAGTGCTGATCTGCACGATGAGGATCTAGCTGCGGTCCGTCCATCGTAGGCGGGAGAAGCGGCGGTCAGGAAGGAGCCCCACTCAGAGGCAGCAGCACTCCGTGCCTGCGGTGCGGCGCCCAACACAAAAATACATGCCCGCATCTCAGGGTGGCAGCTCGTAACAGACAGGCTCGCCTTACGTCGGGGGCGCTCGGTGATTAGGACCTGACTGCTGACGGATTCACTGACGAAAACAAACACAAAAAACAAACACCAGGTAAGTTTGTTAATTACTGGACGGGAATGATGGAGCGCGTGGGGAGCGGACCGTGAACGCACCAGGCAGTCTCCCAACGACTGAAGGGGTTCTTAACTGAGAGGAGCTGGTAAAGTTAATACGATTCGACTTTGTTTAAGCCTTTGAAACCACGTTGCTTATAATTTAAACAGTTAATATGTTTGTTTTACTGTAAAACTTGTTAATGAGGTAACTAGATGCAGAGTTTGTCGAAAGGTTAGCTAGTTGAAACACCTAACGGTCGTTCACGTTCAGCACCTTTCCTCCTTTATTCACATTTAAATGTCATTCCTGTCTTCTACTTTAGCGCTTGCGCAGGTTTTTACTGGATATATTGGCCTTCTGTGTGCAAGCAGTAACTTTAAACGCTGTACGAGGTAAATGGGACAAACATTTCGAGGCTAATTGATCATGTGTCATTCAGCCGTGAGTCTACGCAGCATGCGCATCGTTACTGTACAGTCCAGTTCACCAACAACCAAAAACCAGTTAAAAAGTCCTGCTGTTCTGTGTCCAGCACAGGAGCTGACGGTCCCTGCTCGCCGTGTGTCCTCTGTTGTTTTAATCGCACAGAATGGTCAGGCTGTTCTGGAGATTTGTTGGACAGATTACATCCGAGTCTGCCCAGGAGCTCAGGAAGTCAGGGGGCTGTTGTTGTTGTTGTTGTTGTTGTTGTTGTTCATAGAAAGAGACAGCAAACTGTCCCAAATGAGGAGACATAAGAAGACATGATGACCTAAAGGAGGGAAAATGTCAGTGCTGGCTCAAGTCAGACAGTCATGAAGTGCTGTAACATTCAGAGGCATTAAATGAGTGAAAACAGATCCAGCATGCCAAAAATAAGTCAGAAAATGTCCCAAGCATTAGACACTAGCCTGTAGGACACTTGTCCAACTGAAGGTCCGAAGGCCAAATATGGCCCTTGTTGATGTCTCATCTGGCCATTAAGTGTAAAATATTTTATTGCTTCTCGTTTTACATAAAAAAAAAACTGAGCACACTTTATTTAGTGCAGACTTCTCATGACATTGAAGCCAGAAAAAATCGTTTGGATTTTTCCGAAATCTTTGATTTTGATGCGGAAAAAGCGACATGGAATGCGTCAAATGAGACAGGCTGGTTTGCTTAAATTAATAGATCCAAGACGCATAAAAGAAACCAAAATAACACGTATAAAACACACATTTGGATAAAACAAAATGTGTTGATTCTGATTATTTTCTATTAAATCAGCACCGCTGTTTCATATCTAGCTTCTGGTTTACATCATTTTATATTCCAGCGTACAATAGACTAATTAAAAGATCTATAATCTAAATGGAAGGAAAACCCCTAAACTATTAAGACCCAGTCCAACAAACATCCCTGTGCCTACTGAAAACAGTCTAAACTACTAACCCCCCACCACCCTGTCTGTTTCAGGTGGCCACGTTGCTCTGGTAAATCCCAGGTAACATGTCTCATCGGAGTGGGCAAGAAGACCCGGAGCGGTACCTGTTTGTGGACCGTGCCGTTGTGTACAACCCGGCTACACAGGCAGACTGGACAGCCAAGAAGCTGGTGTGGGTCCCCTCAGAGCGCCATGGCTTCGAGGCGGCCAGTATCCGAGAGGAGCGTGGTGAGGAGGTGGTCGTGGAACTGGCAGAGAATGGCAAGAAGGTGGTGATCAACAAGGACGACATCCAGAAGATGAACCCACCCAAGTTCAGCAAGGTGGAAGACATGGCGGAGCTCACCTGTCTGAACGAGGCGTCCGTGCTGCACAACCTGAAGGACCGCTACTACTCCGGACTCATCTATGTGAGTGTTTAGACCTGGAGCCTTTAGAAAATTTGCTTTTATGTCTTTTTCAATTTACCACACAAGAGAATAACCTGCCATAAAACTTTGACATCTTTAATTTGCATACATTTAATTTGAAATAATTGAAATTGTGCTGATCTTTTATTATGATTTTTTTGTTAGAGTTAAAACATGGATGCTTTTGTGATGAGTGAGGGGGCACTGAGGGTTTTGCTCCCCTGACTGCCTGCTGACCACACTGAGACACACAATGGTATTTTATCTCTTATCAGACCTGCTTAACTTAGCACATCTCAACAACATATTGATGCCATTCTCCTGCTCTGCTACAGAAAGACGTCTTCCATAAAGAAAGACTTTATTTCATTCTGTTTGTCTTGTTCTGTGTTCCTGCTGACGGAGCTGGGTTGATGACAAAGTGCCATCCTGTCTCCTCAGTCCTTCTACTTACAATCAGACATATTTGGCAGAAAGTGGAAGAAAAACAGTTTTTTTACCTTAAAGCTGTGGTTCAGCACATTTGAAATGAGATTTTGTGGCAAAGTTATGAACAAATTAAAAACGTGTGTTGTGTTATGTGTTGATATCTTTGAGTCACCTCAGTTTGAAGGGATAGAGTTTGTTTGACAAAACTGATGAGCTTAAAGCTAGTTCAAGTGTAGCCCAGACCATCCATCCATCCATTATCATCCATCCATTTATCTTCTTCCGTTTTGGGTCATGGGGGTCGCTGGTGCCCATGTCCAGCAATAACTGTGCGAGGGGCGGGGTACACCCTGGACGGGTCTCCAGTCCATCACAGGGACACATAGAGACAAACGAGACAAACAACCATTCACTCTCTCACTCACACCTAGGGACAATTTAGAGTTACCAATCAGCCTAACATGCATGTTTTTGGTCTGTGGGAGGAAACCGGAGTACCCGGAGAAAACCCACGCATGCACGGAGAGAACATGCAAACTCCACCCAGAAAGGCCCCCGGACCGGGGTTTGAACCAGGGACCTGCTCGCTGAGAGGCAGCAGCTCTACCAGTTGCGCACTGTGCTGCCCCCAGACCAACCACTTCAACCAATTTGCCAACTTTCAAATGTTTGTGTTTGTAACTAGGGATGCACAATATTGGATTTTTGACCAATAACCGATACTGATCCTGATTTAATAGACTTTCCTTTGTCAGAACATAGCCCTCTTATTTTGGCTTGTGGAACCGCTCTAAGAGCTGGTGACATATATTCAGTAACAGCCATATGATATGCATAGCACTTTAACTTTCATTAAATGAAAAGTGTTAAATATTATTTATAAGCATTAGTCAGCTGTGATGCTGTCTCACTTGTGGAGGTTTGTTCCAGGTTCCTAGCTGCAGTGTGGGATCCTCTGCACTCCTGTGCATGGACAGCCTTTTTAAGTTCAAAGTTTTAGTCTATCCATTGTGCCATAAGACTAATCATGCTAACGCGGCTAACGACGTCCAAATGTCTGTGGTGAAACTCACCCAATTACTATCGGCTATTAGCTTCTCAATGATGTCGGAAATGACGGCTTGTAACTCAGGTAAGGCTATGTCGGAAAAATATCTCTGACTGGGGACGATGTAGCGAGGCTCAATGTAGTCCAAAATTCTTTGAATTCCAACATCCTCAACGACAAAAAAAAAAAAAAACAGCTTCCACACCGCTGACAATTTGACTTCTTCCTCTCTGCTGTGATCAGATCAGGTAGGTGCGTTTGACGTCATCACGTTGTGCTGGCGCTGCAGGCATCCTTGTCACTGGGTTGTCATATAAAAACGGTGTCTTTAATATTGGTGAGTTATTTTGATGGAATGGCCGATGTCCAATATTTAACTTTAACGCTAATATCGGCCGATACCGATACCATGCAGATAATATTGTGTATCCCTATTCATAACTTTTCCCTAGCCCAATTTCAAAATGGCTTCTTTATCCTTTTAAAGTCCAGACACACGTTCACTAAACGTAACACTTTTGCTTACCAAATATTTCATTAGAGCAGAAACTTTGTATTTTTCCATTAGCCGTTTGGTTTTTCCAACCCACGTATTTATGTTAAATGTTTAGAAGTGACACATTTAAATTTGTAACCACCAAAGTTTGCAGTGTTTCCACCACTATTTTGCTTTTGCCCCCATAATCTAATTTTCAGCAGAGATGAAGCTTCTTCTTGTGATCCCACCCCATTTAGTGGCACATTTTCCACTAATAGAATGTGGGTTATCACCGGGGAGACTCTGGTTTGAGGACTTCAGAGCAAATTGTTGCATTTATCTGAGATGCTTCCACAACATCATTTAATCATTTTTAAAGTCTGTGACTATTTCTATTTGATTACATTAAAGTGCTGCAATAACATGAATATTTCACAGTAAAATACGGTAATTTGTCATTGCTAAAACAGTACAAAAAAAAACCAAACCTCATGGCTTCCCCATATGGTTTAAATTTGAATCTTATTTGACCAGCTCACTATGTTCCGCTTAAATATCATGGTAATACCATAGTAACACAGTTTCTACTTTATTTTTGGGGGTTTCAAATTGGCTCTGGAGCTTCCTAGTTGTCCCCTAGCCTCAGAGAAATTAAAAACATGTGTTTGGCTGTGTTGGTTTTGTATCTGGAAGAGAATTTTCCCCTGTCAGATCACTTTAGGAGAAAACCTTTCCCCTCCTGTGCTTTAAACATTTTTGTATTTGACTTACCCCCCAAGAGCTTTGCTCCGTCCACAGTAGACTTGATATAATGGCCCCCGCAGGCTGTGCTCTGACTTGATATTTCTGAGAGAACTCTGAATCCTTTTGAGACCATCATAGATATGAAATGGTTATTTTTTTGTTGGTGAAACCAGTAAAACCATTTCATTTAGTAGGCTGATTGGGACATGCACCTTCTCACTGTTGGACATTAAAGAGACCACTCAAATTGTACCAACAAAACATGTTTTAAAGTCAGAGTTTGGCTGATTGGTGAATTCAAACCACAATCTGCCTTTCAACAGTAAAATGAAAGCATGAACCATTATTTGCATATGATCCTACTCAGTTTTGTACCAGCTCTTTGTACGCTGGGAGCAGTAACGGGTTTTTATTGTCATTTTAGAAAATGCTTAACTGAAAAGTCTTGTCTTATGTCATGCTTTTGTCCTCAGCCTTGTAAATGTACATTGGAGGGATACTTTGGCCATTTTTGAAGAGGGGTTTTGTTAAGTTTATGAAGAATTAACATCTTACCTGTTGTACATCGATCTTTGAACAACCTCAGATTGGAAATAAAAAAAAAGAAGGTTAAATTCTGACTAGACTAACGAGTTAATGATTAGTCTGAATGCTGACAAGACCAAAGTTTGTTATTGCTGTCTTCATTCATCCAAATGCTGAGTCATATGCGTCATGTTTTACAAAACACACGTTTTAATACATAGGATAGTAGCATTAGCAGCAAACTGTGCTGTGCTCCAGCATCAACGTGTGGCATGGAGGCTGCACAGCTGCAGAAAGAAAAGCTTTGCAGAGAGTGGTGAAGGCTGCACAGAAGTCTGTTGGAGTCAGTCTCCCCACCATCACAGACATTTACAGCTCCAGAGGCAGGAAGAGGTCCACCTGCATCATGAAGGACCCCACTCACCCAGCATGCACACTTTTTGTCCCGCTCCCCTCAGGAAGGAGGTTGAGGAGCATTAAGTGTAGAACCACTAGACTGAGGAACAGCTTCTACCCTGAGGCTGTTAGACTCATGAATCTCTAACTAGAATAATCACTGTGAAGAATCACATCATGTTGCTGCTGATCTGTTTCATGTTGCTGCTGATCTGCTTCATGTTGATGTGTTCATGTGTGCTCATCTGTTCACATGGACTCATGTTCGTGCTGCTGTTCGACGTATTGTTTTTATGCTATTAGTGCTTAGATTATTATTATATACACAGTTGATGTTTTTCTTAGTTCATATTTTAGATCGTATTACTGTTTTTCTTTTACATTTTATTGTGGGATGTAACTGGGACCCTGTGTACATAATTTCGCTCCACCATATGTATCACATGTGGTGCGAACAACAATAAAGAATATCTGTATCTGTAACTATAGTTTTTCCAATGCAGCTTGGGGCACTTCCAGCAGTAAGACCACAATTTTCTTCTGAAATACCCATGTAATGAAAAAATAGTGGTTTTATAAACCGTTTGCATGAACTGCTATGAAATTAAAAAAATTGCAGTTAACGAGAGCAACATCTGCTTTGAAAGTGAGTCAGCTCAGACAAACTTGCATTAGCTGGTCCATAAAGTCCAAGTAGATCCACTTCCAGAGCAGACTTTGATGATTGTAGATTTTCACATGGCTGCATGACGGCTCAGTGGTTAGCACTGTTGCCTCACAGGAAGAAGGTACTGGGTTCAAGCCCTGGTTGGACCTGGGGTCTTTCTGTGTGGGGTTTGCATGTTCTTCTCGTGCTTGCATGGGTTTTCTCCGGGTACTCCAGTTTCCTTCCACAGAACAAAAACATGCATGTTAGTCTTCCTTCAGGTCCAGGCCTCCCTTACAAAAGAGATCTGTGATCTCAATGGGATTTGCCTGGTTAAATAAAGGTTAATAAATAAATAAATACATTTTGCTGCCCTATAACAACTTTGTTCGTCAAAATTTCACTGTTAATTGATTAAATGAAATTAATCCCAAAAGTGTTTCAGGTTTCAGTAGAAGTTCTACAGCTAGCTGCTGTTAGCATTTTTGCTTACACATAACAAAAACTTTATGTAAATAATTAAGAGATCGATGATGGTGTAAAGATTTATAAAATAAAACGAGCCTCTGAAATTTAGGGCTATCTACAACAGGTAGGATATTAATTGTTCATAACTGTTCCACACAACTTCATTTTAAAACATCTCAATATTCTGTAAAAGCAGAGGCATGAAAAAGCTAAATGATTTGATCAGCTACTCTTTTCACCTGTGCCCATATTTATGTATTTATTTGTAAGATTGTTCCACATGTGTTATTTTACTGTGCAGGGAATGTGTTTTGGCATTTGCTTAAAATTTTACCCTCCCCCATCACCCCTGACATTTTGTTTCTGTCCTGCGTTGCTTCCTCTTTCATTCTTTGCCCATCTTTAAGGATGTGATGTCTGTCAAATCTTTGAAGACCACTTGTTTCTTGTCTTGACTTTCGGTCCGTTAGCTGGTGATTCCCAGGCCAGCTGCAGAGCTACACGCAGGTCTTTGTGTTGTTACATAAACTTCAGCTGTCAAAATCTTCAGCATTCCTCAGTGGCAAAAAGATCTTCAGTCTGTCTGTCTCGTGCTGCCCACTTCAGCTCTGGTGCTTCCTCCCATCTTCATCACCTCTGTTTCATTTCTCACACACTCTTTTCCTTCTCCACTCCTCCTCAGTCACTAATCCTGCAGAATAATTTTTGTTTGCATACCACACAACATTTTTTCTTTGTTTCAAGTCAGAGGTGAACTATTTCTGTAGGATGTTCAGACTCCCACCTAATATGTATGCGTCATTAACGCTCTTGACTTTTCGTGTCCGTTTCATTATAATAGGTAAATTGTTCCTGTTCTGCAAAAGGCCACACATTGATACGATTTCTTAGAGTTGTTTGATACCGTGCATTTCAGACTGTCACGTCAGTCAGACTGTACCTGCTATGAACATTTGTTAGTTTTGTTGTGAAATCAGTGGAGTGTTGAGAGGAACGGTCAAAGTCTTGTGTGCTCTGCTTAGATCAGTGGCACTACGGCAGTCCAAGCGCCCTTTTCGTGGCCTCTGGAGTGAAGAATGTTCTCTGAAGCACGCTGGCTGTGTGATCAGAGGCGGCAGATGGACTCGGCTGTTGTGTCTGCTGTTGCCTGTGTGTTGCTCAGCTGTTACCAGGTCACACCATCCCCTCCCCTGGATCTGATTTCACTGTGGAAACATCACCTTCTCTTTCCTGGACTGGGTTGGGTCATACGTAGCTGCTTGACAGGCCGTGTTGCGCTGGTTGTATCATGCTCTACTTGCTGGAAATAGGGAGGTGGTGAATGTCGCTGCTGCCCTTCCAGCTGCCTGAGTTCTCGTGCTGCACAGCTGAACGGACAGAACAGAAAAGACCCCCTATTTATAGCAGCCTCAAACTCGGATACCAGTGAATAAATTTTTCATTAGCCTCAAAAAGGAGAGTGAAGAGTTTGAATTTCAGCATGGCCTCTCTCGCTCTGAGCTCTCCTCTTCTGTTGGAAGCAGTTTACAGAACACCGCTCCGTGTTTGTTACACCTCTGCCTTTCCACTGAACTGGACCTTGGGGAGCCTTGTCAGCTGTATCAGTTCTCCACTCTTCCTTTCTCCCTCACCTCCTTCTTTTTTCTGTATCAGCAGTGCAGCATCAGTTGTTCAGTGCTGACTGAGGGCCCTAACTGAGCCATTACGTAATGGCTGCAACCTGCTCTCTGGGGCCCCTTTGTGACCAGATGGCTGCTGAGTCACTCCAGTGTCAGCCTTTAAACTAGTTCATACATGTCATACCTCTCGATGGTTTGAGCTAAAGAGATCATTGCAGGGCAGCTTTTACATGTTTAAATATTAGCTCTATTAATATATATTTATTGGTTATACAGTATGTGGCTTTTAAAATATCTAAAGCATCTGAGCTGGACACAGTCCAAAGAGTGCATGTGTATGAAGGTGCCCATTAGTCTTCTTTATTCTGCTTCTGTCATGATGTTGGATTTACTGATCCCCCCTCAGCTTAGGAAAAACCCATACAAAAGAATATTAAAACATGTGGCTGAATTAGTAATGGTGTGCTATGATCTTGGCTGTACATCACAAAGTGCAGTTGAAAGTGGCCAAAATCTCCATAAAATGTCCACATAGGCCTGTCACGATAACAGATTTTGTTGGGTGATTGATTGTCTCAGAAATTATTGCGATAAACGATAATATTGTTTGAAATTTGACAACAATTAGTAATTGTCAAATTTAAGAAGAAATGTTGGTTAATTTGTTTTGTTTCTATTACCTTTTTTGACCACCGGATGGCAGTATAAGACTGTTTGTACTGAAGGATGGATAGTAAGGGAGCGAGCAGTGTGTCTAAGAAAAATGGGAGGGAGGCCCCTTGACATGGCATGGGCTGTCTCTTTTCCCTTTTTTCGGTTCTCAAAATGGCAGATGCTCTGTGTGGTTTGAGCCCTTTAGCATAGCATTTTTCACAAAGCTTTTAATTAAAACTCAGTAAACAAGTTCTCGGCTTCTTTTTGCTGAGAAAAACAACTTTTTAGACAAAGGGATGGGTTTTAACCATAAATTTAGGAGCTTTGACAAGACAGAGGTTTTTTCCTCGAGGTCGGCCTGTTAGCTTAGCTCATAGCTTAGCTATGAGCTAAGCTGCTTTTAATGATCTAAAAATGTGATTTTGGACAGTTAAAATTGGTTTTAACAAGAAAAGAGAAATGGAGGGGTCAGTGAAGAGCACCAGAGTTGAGCCTTTTGATCATCCAGTGTCTTCAGTAGAAAGAGACACGAAGAAACAATAAAGCTGATAAATGAAAATGAGGTTGATAATTTTCATTTATCATGTGATTAATTGATTTATTGTTTATCGTGACAGGCCCATGTCCACATACACGATATTTTGTTAAAGTGAGAAAATCCCAAATTCTTCTATCAACAAACATATAAAGAAAATGTCAGTTTATAGTATGAAAATGGTTTAAATTATCTGTATAAACGTCTTAATAAGGAAAAATGAATATAATCTTTTTTAAAGAAGTACTTTATTGTTATTAAGTGTGACAAAGCATAAGCACTGAAACACACTTGTTACTATTTGCCTGTTATTTTTCAGTTTCTTTCATATTTCTTTCTGCTATTTCTACAACAGTAAAAAAAAAAAATCTGTACCTGCAGCTCTGTTAGGATTAGTAACATTTTTGGTACATTTGATACAATTTGCCTAACCTGTACATCATACAGGGTAGACACAATTAGCAAAAATCTGCAAAAGATTTCCATTTTGATCAGAAGGATATTGATGAAACAAATGTGTAAACTCAGTTTTTGAGTGTTCCATAGTTGAGATCAGATATCACAGTAGAAACATTAAGCCAAATTTAAAAAGGTCATAAAACAGACTTTACTTAAATAAAAACAGTCATTTTTGTCTTCACTCGCTGCATCTCACTGCTTTTGGACTCATAGTTTCTCTCAAATCCTCTCCAGAGTGCCAAGTGCCCACATCTAAAACCTCATTGACTTCCGTTGTCTCTGAGCTCAGAATTTTATCCTCAAAACTGGAAATGAAGGGTCTTTTTATTTGTCATGTCTCCTACATAAAACACTGTATACACATACAATGTATATATGTGATGAGCAGATGCTTCTGCTACTTACATTTTTAATACAATTTAGTTTTTATACAGTCACTGAGGCTTACTTATTACTGTGCATTATTAAAACTACTGTTTCTTGAAGAGGACAGTCAGGGAGTGACAGACACAGGTGTGTGGTTACCATGGTTGGTGACATAGTCAAAAGCAGCAGCTTTACCATTTAAATGTGGGTTCTTTTAACTATTCTCATATAGTTTAGAGATCAAAATGTTGGCTTAGATTATTTCAAAATAAATGTCCCATATCACTTTTGGGCTTTCTAGAAAAAAAAAAGTATTTAATATTGTTTTGTTGGACATTAGCTGCATTGGCGCTCTTCAAAATATCATCAGAAATTCAATTCACATTTAGTGATTCTGTGTTGTCATGAGACAAGATTACATTACAAAATCATGTCAGTTTAATAATTTAGGTAATCAGGTTTTAATTTCACCATTTTTTTGTGAAACTAGTTGTGGAACAGATATGTCTGTTAAATATTTGTATGGACGTATTGATGCATTTTAAATTCTGCAGCTACAGTATGTGCCAAGTACACAAAGGTAGGATAAACCTAAACTGTCAGTGAAGAAGGTCACAGTCCAGGCTGCCCTTGCTCTGTGCCATCTATAGGAGGAATGTACATTCCTGTACAGCATCTGCTACATGACAGAAAGCCCTCGCCCCACCAGGGCCTCTCGCTCGGTCCTGGCTGCCTCTCTGCCTGGTCGTTTTATCCGACAGCATAACTGAGACGTTTTCGTACCACACACAGTCTCTGGGGAGAGACTGCAGGGCTAATTGCACTGCCAAATACAACACAAGTCAGAGAGGAGACGACGTTTGCAAAGCATGCTGGTTTCTGCTCGAATTATGAAGCAGCGTTTTAGATTTACTGACTCTTAGTGCAACTTTCGGGGATCTTTTTCAGTGTTTATTGAGTCACCGTTCCCTCAAATATGTCTGGAAGTCTGTTTAGTGTGTATCCACGTGTTACATGATTTTTATAATTTTTTCCTCCTATAAAATGCCTTATTGGATCGATACAATTCAGGTGATTTAAAAATACAGGAATGTGAAGCAAAATTTTAATCTAAAATACAATAATTATGACAACATTTTGTGTGTATCTGCTTTACTGGAAACATATATAGAATTCTTCCATCAGAACTGGATAAATAACGTTTTATTTGTGTTTTTCCCTTGTTTTTTTAATCTTAAAATTGCAGACCTATTCCGGCCTTTTCTGTGTGGTCATCAACCCCTACAAGAACCTGCCCATCTATTCAGAGAACATCATTGAGATGTACAGAGGGAAGAAGAGGCATGAGATGCCACCGCACATTTATGCCATCTCTGAGTCAGCGTACCGCTGCATGCTACAAGGTAAACCCCACTGATTATTGACTGACAAACACAAAACAAAAGCAATGGAACAGGGTCCAAAACTGGGGTCCTACAAGATAGAAACTTTAAAGAGTGATAGACATGTTTTTTTTTGGTCTAACCCTGAATACTGAGACATTATTGTTTTTATTGTATTCGCTTGTAGTTGACATGAGTTTTAGCTGCACAGAGCAAGTGATTAATGTGTGAAGACGGTGTGTGAAAGTCTCCGGGTCATTTAGAAGATGTGACACCACCGAGTATGTCTCAGAAGTCGGCTGTCATTGGGGAGGTCAGATAACAGGTTAAGTATCTGGCAGGGTTTCTAGCCATATCATTAGTTTCATGTGGTTATTTTTCAAGGAAATCTGAGGCTCTTCATCTCAAGCTGTTAATGTACAAACATTTTGCATTTTCATTTAGATTAGCTTGTTTGCAGTATTAATCACTCTGTTTGCAAATATTCCTCCAAAAATGAAGTGCTTTCAAATTAGTTTAGTTCTTACTACAGATACTGGCAATGTATTATTATTGCTCACCTTTTGGTTGTGTGTGTTAATGTTATTGCTCATGCATGTGGCTTTGTCGTGTTAGCAAAATATCTCGAGACTCAATGGACAACTTGAATAAACCCCAGAGCATAATTATTGGACATATATCTACAGACTTTTTGGAGTCAACCCAATTAAAGGTGACAGTTGAGCAACCTTATGAAACACAGCAATAGCTTTAAGTCAGTCCGTTTTACAGATTATAAACTGGTGTGTTAGTCGGTGGAAGTCATTTCCAACTTATAGTCTTGAGAGATATTCATCCCAAAAAACATTTATATACAACTTTGTCTTTGAGTCTATTTTGTCTGTGAGAAAAATTTCAGAAAGTATTCTTTGGATTGACGTCTACAACAGATTACTTATTAACGTCAACTGATTCCAGATGGCTGCCACAGGAAACTGACTGTAGGAAACACAAACGTGACAATAACTGTCATTTTATTTATTTATTATCATATTATGTTTTTTTTTTTTTACAGTTTTTAATTTAAAATGGTAAAAATTGATGGTAGTAGCTCAAAGTCAGTCCCATTACTTATTCAAGGAAATACAAATTGATGTCTTTGCCTCAATCTTTGGCTCTAACCGTTGGATTCAGCCCTTTTTGTTCCGTTTATAGCAGTAAATCTGCAGAAATAACAGAACTAAAAAAAATAATCTTATTTGTAAGATTTGGGGCAACAGTGCCATGATCCGAGGGTAAGATTTCTACAATTATAGTGCGAGTGATGACAGGCTTGCCTGACAAAATAGATTCCTTGCATCCCAGGAATTTATAGGTCATAGATGGACAGTGAGGAGGGGAGGAGAGGAGGCTCAGGGAAGAAAACATGTTTAACAATGTCTGTCTTCAGGTTGTCATTAACTGAACCTGCTGCAGCGATAACGTAAATTAGTTTTTTTTTACTTCCACATACTCGACATAGCAGTTTCATACCTCCAACTGCAGCTGTTTCATACCTAAACTTGTAGCACCCGATGGAGAAGCTGGAGTCTCTCACCTTAAGGGCTCAATTGATGATAGCCCAAAATAAAAGTACAGCCATGTACACCGATAAAAAATAAATCATCTGATCCTTATCAGGTTTCACAAAAAGGTAACTACAACTTCAGATGAACAACAAGATTAGCACATTACACTTTATAATTATATTTAAACAAACGGTAAATAAACCAAGTTAGAGACTCGCAGTGTGAAAAAATCAGTAGCTTCTATGATAACCTTGAGCAGACATAACGAAGTATTCATTTTCAGTATGACCTTTCAGGACTCACATCATTATGGAGGAATTTTGACCCACTTTTCTTGACAATGTTGCTTCAGTTTGTAGAGAAGTTTTCATTAATGCGCAGCTCTCGTTAGGTCCCACCAAAGCATTTAAATAGGTCGAGGTCTGGAATTTGGATGTCATGACAAACCTGTTATTTTTTATTTTAGTCATTTTCTTGTAGATTTGCTGCTGTGGTTGGCTCAGGGTCACATCGCACGTCTTGTTTTGGACCACGTATTTCCTGTTGGACAGACGACCTCCCATTTGACTTGAATAAACTTTGGGCTTACAGAAGAGTTCAAGGTCAACTCAGTGACTACATTGTGCCCCAATTTTGAGACTGCACCACGACAAAAACACTACTTCTCCACCACCATGCTTTGCAGATGGTATGAGGTGTTCAGCCCTGTTAAGAATATCCAGCAACATGCTAGATGAGGCCTGTAGAGTCTCTGAGACATTGGTCTTTGGGTAATTTGCAATTTCTTTTAGTATTGCATGTTCTGACTAGGAGTGATTATCTTTTACCTGCTTCTTCCTTTTGGGGTCATGGGGTCACTGGTGCCCATATCCAGCCATCACTGTGTGAGAGGCAGTGGACACTCTGGACAGGTCTCCAGTCCATCACAGGGACACAGAGAGACAAACGAGATAAACAACCATTCACTCTCTCTTTCACACCTAGGGACAATTAGAGTTACAAATCAGCCTAACATGCATGTTTTTAATCTGTGGGAGGAAACTGGAGTACCTGGAAAAAACCCACGCATGTACAGAGAGAACATGCAAACTCCACCTAGAAAGGCCCCTGGCAGGATTTCAATCTGGCAACCTACTCGCTGAGAGGCAGCAGCTCTACCAACTGTGCCACCGTGCCGCCCACAGCCAAAACATTTGCTTTTCTACTGATGCAAAAAATGTAATGGCCTCATATAATAATAATAATAAAAAAAACAATATATTTTTTGTTTGTTTTGTTTTTATATGTAAGAAAGCTGAATTTATAATACATAATCTTTATTTTTTTTGCTACAACTACAGAACTGGATCTGTTAAAGAAAAATTATACATTTTATTATGCATTATGCATCAAACACCATGACCTACCGTAGTTTGGAGTCTGATTCTTATAGACGCCAACAATTTTCAGTCAGGTCATCTGGACAGTTTCTTTTTTTTTTTTGTGCTGAAACATCACATTTCACCTTCCATCCAACCTAACTGGTTTGTTCCACTTTGGAGTAAGCTGTTGGGGGAAGAATCAGTTTTTTGTTGTGTGTTTCCTTGACTGATGAAGCCTTTTCGACGGAAGGTGAAACATTTCAGCACAAAAAAAAAGAAACTGTCCAGATGACCTGACTGAAAATTGTTGGATTGTATACCTGGACTATTGAGCATGGACTTAGTTGATTCTTATAGACTGTTTTTGAGTTTCTGTTGTGGAAGGACTACAGTTAAAGCCTGGTCTTTGGTTCTGGTCTTTGTACAATTTCTGCTCTCTGCTGGCTACTGTCAACTGCTCTAGGTTCTGAACCTCTGGACCGAGCAGGTCAGAGCACTGGCCACTGATTTTCAAAGCTTTACTCAGGTTTTTTTTTTATGTGTCACTTGATTCTGGGTGTTACTTACATATAAATACATAATAACAATAATAATAATAATAATAATAATAATAAATACAACTAATAACTAACTAATAAATACAACTAAAGCTACATCTAATATATTTTTTTCATGAATCATTCATTCCCTCCATTTATTTCTGCTTTGTTCTACATACAAGGTGTTCCTCACTGTAAATGAAGCATTAGATAAACAACACACATAGGACCCACACTCCTGCCCTCCCATTATTACTCTGCAAGATATTTGTTCTAGATAAATAGGACATCTCTCTTGTGCCACCATTATTTTCCCCGACCCCCTTCCCCCCTGCTCATTCGTTTGGACCATTCATAACAGGCAATGGATATGGGGTCATCACTGTTTCAGATTTTCTTACCATGGTGTGCCCAGTTGTGCAGGCTGAGTCAGTGTCAAGATGTTACAGTTGTCTCAATAGTCCAGCACCCTCTGCATCACTTCTGTGAGGATGGATGCATCACCATGGATACCTGTGAGTATCTGTGAGTGCAACCATACATAACATTCATAAACTTCACCCACATAACCTCCTGAGATCTCAAACAAAGGTGTTATTTAGGGAGGGACATTGGTTTAGCCATAGTCAGGTGTTTTTATGTGTGATTGTTTCAGTCTGTTTAATATGGACACTATCCCATTCAAAGTGTCATTTAAAGCTTCAAAGCCAAACTTTTTGGCGTGTGGCTGTTTTATAATTGCTTTCTTGCGATTATAGCAGCTGGACTTTGTCATTTCAACCCCTTAGTTTGCTTTACTTTCTATTTAAAGTCCCCTTTTCTGCATTTTTAAAATTGTTTCAACCACAATGTTCTGGTTTGAAATACACTAAAGAGAAAAGTTCCCCACATCCTTTAAGGCATTTTAGTTGCATTTCAGTAAACTTGAACCACATCTTTGCTGGACGCCATGTTGCAGCTCAGTTTGCTTTGTCTTTTTCTGCTTGGACTCTGTTCAGGAAACACAGGGGAATAAGTGCTCAGAATGTCCACCCTCAAATCATTTTTTGTGTCAGGTTAGTGTCACGGTTAGCCTTCTGTTCATCCGTTTAACTCTGTTTGACATTTTTTTCTTACACCTTTTAGCTCGTCAGCTCTAAATAGATTGTTCATGACAGCCTCCCTGTGTCTGCATGTTTTCACCAGTGTTCACATTTCATTCATTCATTTCTTGTCAGCCTTTTTAATCGGTTCTTTCTAACTTCTGCTTCTTACAGCTGTAAGAGGGCTTTCCAAAATATTTTCAAATGAAGATCATATGTAGCTATTTCAGCTGCAGTACATCTAAAAAATATCAGTATACATAGGACTTTATGTTTCTTGATGCAATGCAGCCTTGTTTGCAGTTGGACAATGAATAATAAAAACACATTTTATATATATATATTTTTTTGATTTGTTAGAATTTTTTTAAAAAATTTATTTATCTATGCAGCATGACATTTTAGTGGTTAACACTGTTGCTTCACAATCAGAAGGTCCTGTGAACGATCCCTGGGTTTGGCCTGGAGTTTTGCTATGTAGAGTTTGTATGT